CAAAGAGAGAAAATCTCACAAAACAGAGCTGCTGTTCATACACGATTTCTCTCAGCCAAAACCTTCGATCGACGATCCCAGCGGTCAGAATGAATAAATATACGTCTGGGAACTACTGTCAAAGTTTCAGCTCAGTCCAACGGTTAACTAAGGAGAAATAACAATTTCTCAGCAGCTGGTCTGTGCAGAGTCACCAAAAATAGGGCTTCTGTGCGAAGACAATATCTCCAACTTCAGACCTCCAATCGACCATCCGAACGGTCAGAACAAAGAGAACCGTGTTATGAATCTGCTGTAAAATTTTCAGCCCGATCCAACGGTGAACTAATCGGATATCAGAGAAATAGAGTAGCTGGTCTGGAGCTTCTTTTCTTCCCTCTCTTCCCTTCTCTCTTTTTGATGCCTCTAACCGAAAATACTCACACTAGGCTGCGAAAATGGACTTCCCTCACCCACTCCACTGACTTCTCACTCCCCTCAATTAAGTGTAAAAAATGAGCTTGAAAATTTAGACTTTTGGACACATAGCTGGGAGTCCAACCCAACATAAATCTCGTGGCAATAATACCTGCACCAAATGGATAAAATTCGTCTAAATATTATAGACCATTCGCAATAGATGATGATGCAATTAATAGAACTTCCAATTTGCTCAAATCCAAGCATGTGCTACTAATGCTTCCTTTTTCGTATAAAATTTCAAACTGCTCTATTATTTAAATGACTAAAATTAATATCATATTTAATACTATATATAATTACATTTATCTTAAAAAAAATTTAAAATCTTTTTTACACACGCTCCTGTCCTTGAGCTTGGACACTTATGGTTGTACCCTTTAGAGGCCTAATTAACACCGTCACAACTTTTGCCACATAATCCTCACATGTAACACTATTTGAAGAAACATTCCATTTTTTAGCAAGTATAGCCATCGACCAATATATATGGTCCCTCTTCGGTTTTGTTAAGGATTCATTTGAAAGATCATTCGGCTACAACAAGAAACAAATGTCTTCCTTTATTGCATCCCGTATCATTTAATACTGTTGCGATGGAGTGGCTAACTAATCAACATCATAGTAGTTGAGTATGCTGTAGATATTTTGTGACAAGTGTTAATCATTGTTCTTGAGGAGGTTAAGAAATCAAAAATAAAATTAAAAAATATATTATTATTATATTTTTTCTGTTTTTCAATGCATTCAACATAATTTTTATTATTTTTATTTTCAATTTTTGACCAGTATCTTTAAAATATTAGTCAACAAGATTCATATTTTATTTTGTTGCATGTGGAAGTTTCTCTTTCTTAGAATGAAAGTCATTAGCTGGATAAAGTGTCAATAAGTCTTTCGAACAAGCTTGCATGGGGACCGAAAGTGGGTCATTGTTATTTCTGTATTGAGAATGATCAATTGATCATATATCCAGAAACCTGTGGTATCCATTAATTTCCAAGAAAATTTTGTTTAAGAGCAAAAAAATCGATTGCCTGAAACCCAAGGCAATTCAAGGTCGCGTGATTTTCATGTTGAAACTTGAAAGTATATATGCATTTCTGGATTGCATTATCTTTATCTTTTCAGGATGAGTGTGCAGTTTCCTTTTTCTTAAAACATCAGCATTCTTTTTTATATTCTTTTGCACTTAACCAGTAAAAAGGAGCAAAAAGAGTAAAGAGGACTGAAATAATTATATCATGAACGCATATTTATTAAGCATAATAAAAAATAATAAAAATAAAAATGAGTGCATAGTTATGCTATTTTTAAGCGTCTAAAAAGTAATTTTTAATTTGTTAATAAAAATGTTAAGTTTATTTTTTAATTCTGACTTTAAGTTATTAACAACAGTATTATAATGTTAGAAAAATATATTTATTATTCTTTTGTATCTTTAATGTAATAAATATTTTTTAAAATAAAAAATTACTATTTTTAAATGTTTAAACTCACTTCTTAGACTCAATATAAGTAAAAAATGGCTAGTTTAAGTTCACTTTTTAAAAGATTGATGGCAATAACATTAAAATAACATGAAACAGTCTTCGTAAAGTTTTTTTTAGGTATAAATCTGTAAACGTTTTGTTTTGTCTTTTTGTGATTATTATCATAATAACTTGCTTTTTGATTAATTGTGTCCATTAAATACCGAACTCATCTTAACATTGATCAAAAGATCCATATCCAAAAGTATAAAGAAATGGGAGATATTTCTTCTGAAGCCATAAATGTGAAATATTTAATAAAAATATAAATATTTGGAGCAATAAATCAAATGGGCAACAGCATGGAAGATGACACGTCATTGACAGCATGTTCAACAAAATTCTCCAATGTCTATGATCTTCGCATGCATTCACTGCGTTTTCAGTGAGTCGACGATTGAAGCAAATCCAGAGATGTAAAATCGCATTAAAGTCAATTGAATGATATGTCAGAAGTAGGAGTAAAACTCAGCACCGATAAGAAGTATGGTCTGTAGTTGGATCTTAAATTTCATCCACCACGCTTGTAGGAATTAGATATGCCTGTTATTTTAATTAATTAATAAAAACTTATCTTGAAATTATATTAAAAAATTATAGTAATAAATTTAACTAATGTTTTTAGGACTAATTGACACGTTTTATTAGAAAATATTTATCGTTCTTTAAAAAAATAATGTAGTTATTTTTTCTTGCCTGTATGGCAAAGACAAACGTTTATATTTTATGGGGAAAAAAAATAATTAAGGACCAGTTTTAAGCGTTTCAATATAATAAGAGTATGTTGAAAAAATTATATTTTTTAATATGATAAACATTTTTTTAACAAAATTATTATTTTTAAACATTTAAAATTAATTCTAAGAGATAGTATTAGCCAAACTAATGTTTTATTTAGAAGGATACAAACAACTCTTTAAAAGAGACACGATAAGTTTTTTAATGAAAAATTGTAATCAATATACCCTATTTTAATATTGGTCAATATTATAATTTAATTTAAAAATATTATTTCATTTTTTATTTTTGATAAAATATATATTTCCTTTGTAATTAAATCTTATTAGTTTTAGATATTTAATATTTAGAAAATAGTAGGATTACACTGTAATTTTTATTAAAAATATTTAATTTATTAATTTTGAATCAATGTACTTAAATTTTAGACACTTCTTGAGGGATCAATTGATTTTTTGTAAAAGTATGGCATAGATAATTTGAACAATCTTTGTCATTAGTTGGGTGGGTCTACTTGGCATATATGGAAGAGGGGGTGTCATGACCTACCACTTACGGTTCTTTAATATTCGTATCTAATTGCTGTCAGCTATTGTCGAAGATCACACCAAAAATTTCAAACGTTTCTGACTTGAATGTTGAAATTATTTGCGACTTGTTCTTATGAATTTCTTCCACTATACGAATGCTTTCTTAAGAAAAGAAATTATTATTTTCCTACTTATAATAAATGAACTTTAATAAAAGGGCAAGAATCTGTCTATTACGTACATCACTTTTTTTATTTTTCCTTTTCTGTCGTGACCCCCCTAATGTTACAGTTGACAAAAATTATGTCGTCACTCCCCTTAATTTTCTCAAGATGGTGTATGAAATTTTCAACTTTAACTATTAATTAGCTAAGTGAATTGCTTGGTTAGACCTAATAAAATAGATTATTCACTTCATTTGAGTCAGACTCTTTGTAGGTTTAGTAAGTCAAATAAAAAAATATATAATAAAATTATTTTTTTTACAAGCTTTTTTAAAATTTAAAATATTATATTTTATTAAATAAATTTAGACTCGCTCGGTTAAATAAATTATTTTACCAAAAATGATCTTACGATGAGACAGTAATTTCCAACGCAGAGTTATATCTATTTTTATCTTCACTATGATTAACACGCCTTAACTACTTGAAGAGTTGAAGTTTTAATGTATGATTGGAAACTTAATAAAATCACTTTAAACAACATTTTAATATGAAAGTTATAAATACTACGACAGATCAACATTTGAGTAGGTTTAATAAATAACCAAACACATTATTAATTGAGGGATTTTGTTAATTTCAGTGCAAGATAAGCAGTTAATAATAGTAAAATTTTATTAAAAAAATATTTATTATATTTTTATAATTTTAATATAATAATTATGTATTTTTTTATAAAAAAAATTTATTTATAGATGCTTAAACTCAATCCTAAGAGTTGAGATTAACAAAATCCTTAATTGAGTAATTTTCCAAAAATAAATAATTAAGAGAAAGTGAATTTGTCCATACAGAGAATTGAACAAGTAATAATTAAAGATATATTTACTAGTAAATTAAGAATGCGGATGGGCTTGGATCAATTGTCCATACAAATCTCTGCTTTTATATTTAAAGATAAGTTCATTGTCTATTATATTTAAATTATATTTAAAAGAGCTTATAAATAATTCATAAAAAAAGTTATGACTTTTATAAATTATTTTCAACTTATTTTAATAAGTTTTTTTTAACATAACTTATCAAAATAAGTTATTTTTAGTTTATTTCAATAAATTTTATTATTAAATTTATAATATAAGTCATCATTATAAAAATAATTTATTAAATAAGTGTTTAAATAAACCATTATCAGAACACACTCATAAACTAATTTGATATTAGATACACTTCTGTTTGATTACTTTAGATGTAATCAGCATAATGTGGTTTTTTCAACTGGTGTATTCTAAATTTCCACCAGAAAGACTGTTTCAATTTTCAAAACATGTCAACTACAATAAACAGTATTGGACAGTATCAACATGATATATTTGTGTATTCCGGACTATACCCATACTTGTCGTCCTATGTTCATTAAGCTCTATAGAAGATATATTAACTGCAATCTGGAGACACCAACAACTAATAGCAGCCCTAGGGCCCCTTCATTTAATATGCTCAGTTTATTGCTTCCTTTATTTATAAGCTGCAAACTTACCACCACCTCTTCAACTTTTCTCTACCTTTCATGTTTGCCATCTTTTTCTTGCTTCCATAGCTAATGGCATATGTTCAGGTTATCACAACTCTTCTTTTTGCATTAGCTCTTGCAAGAATTGACCCCTCAACATGCCAAATGCTATACGGTCAAGTCTCCTGCGTTGACTGCACTCACAACTACGATTTATCTGGTTTGTTCCAACTCTCATGCATGCATCTACTGCCTTTGATTCAAAAAAAAATTTTATGTTGTTCCTAATCATTACTCTTTACAGAATTAAAATGTAAAAAGTTTTTATTCAAAAAAATATTTTTGAAATGCATTAAAAATCATATATTGATATATTTTTAATGATTTCTTGCTTTTGATTTGTTAACTATAATCTTAAGCACACAAGTTAATATTTGTCTTAATTTTAAATAGCTCTGTTAACTTCAACCTCGTGATTGATTTTAATTAGTTAACAATATTTTTTATTAAAAAGTGAAAGGTTTATTATAATTTTTTATCCTCAATATAATAAATATTTTTTAATAGAAGTTAACAGAATTAAAGTTTAAATAAAAGTTGATTTTATCAATTACTGTGTACATACACATATTCTAGGCATCGTAAAGGCATTTTGATTCTATAATATTCTTGCATGGTTGCAGATATTAAGGTTGCAGTGAAGTGTGAAGCTGTGGAAAAACTGGGTGTGGCAACTACGGAAGATAATGGCTCCTTCAAGGTTGATCTTCCTTCAGGCCACATAAAACCTTCTTCTGTGAACTGCCTAGCAAAACTTCTTGGTGGGCCAGTTCAGCTTTATGTCTCAAGGAAAAATCAGGTCTCACAAATTGTGAAGGACAAAGAGCAAAACAGCTACACCATCACTCCTCTTAGTTTCATGACATCATGCCCACAAAACACAAATTGTAAGGCTGCTAAACAAGCGGGTTCATCCAAAACCGTTGATCTTCCTTTGCCTCCAGAATGGGGCTTGGCACCAAGTAGCTATTATGTACCGTTCTTTCCCATCATTGGAATACCTTGATCATGTGTTCAGGTGATTTATAATCACTTGAGTAATAATATGTGTAGGGAGCAATAGATCACTTTATATGGTCTTGTTTGTTACATATAGTTAATTATAGATGATGTGTCATGTGTAGTGTGAAAGAATGCCACATATGGTTGTAGTATATAGTTTATGATAGGTTGTGAAGGAAGTTAATTTCCTTGCTTGAAAGCAGATAAACACTGTGCTGGTTTGTCAACTTATGTTGCATTGTTATATATAATATTTTGCTAATCATAGAACTGCACTCTTACACTAATGCAAACTGCGTATACATGTAATGTATAATTGTATAGTTCTCCCTTGTTTGAAATATGTTATTATGGTTTGTTTAAAAAGATCCTTATCCCAGTACCAATAGCAACTAGAGAATAATAAAATAAAATAAAATAAATGTACACAATGAATGAGTCACACGTGATCATTGATTACATATGTAAGAGCCCAGCACCTAAGCAATAACTATGGGCAATGGATGGTCAACACATACGTACTTACCTCTCTCTCTCTCAAATTATGATTTCAGCCCTTCTTAAAGTTATATTCTGATTTATATCCATTTTTTTAAAAATGAATTGGATTCATGTTGTTATCATAATTCTATTGATCCTGATGATATGTTCCATGGATTTTTAATTTACTAAGTGATATGTAATATTTAACTAATTTATGATAATGAAATGAACCAGCGTGATCATTTTTAAAAATTATTAAAAACGAATCTAACATATATTTTGATAATATAATCGAATTTATATTTTTTTATAAGAATAAAAAACATTTAAGTTATTTTTCTACAGGAACAAAAAATTAAAGAGAGAAATACGGTCCCAATAATAAAGTCCAATGTCTGCCCTGGTTTCTGACAGAGCCAGCAAATCCAGACTACAACTCTAAAATAACTACGAAAGTCCAAATGTAAATGAAAGTATATGATGTGAAAATGGGGGTACAGCAAGGCCTAGTATTGGATTCTTTGAACAATTTTGATTTATATTAAGTCTATAATATAAATATGAATAATTATTTGTCATAAAATTTCTACCCATTACCAAATTAAATTGAAATTGTAATTGTTGATTCAATAACTACGACAAAAATTAAGGAGTAATTGGCAAAATTTTAAATAGATAAACAGTGAAACATTTTGTAAATAAATTAGTCTACTCTATACTAATTGTACTTCAGCCACTACAAAGTAAAATAACTCAGAAAAACGTACAATAACCCAAACTGGAGATGGTAAAATCAAATTTGTGTTGGCGAAAATTTAGTTGATAAATCCATTTTTCAAATTCAACACACCAGCATCACGACCACCCAACATGTTCTGATTATTCCTCTTTGTGATCTGTACAGTGAATATGATTTCGGTAAGACATGTGAGGTAATATAAAAACAGATGAAGTAAATCCAAGCATTAGGGCATATTTCCCTAAGTTGTACAATTTTGACCACACTAGTTCCCCTTTGGTTAACATAAATATGTCAAAGTGAGTAGTCCTATAAGAATAGTTTGAACGAAATGTTTTGCCATTATAAGGAAAATCAACAAAATACCTTACCACCATCAACAACTTGTCACTAGGGCATGCAACAAGATACTTGATGCTGAAATTAATTGCAGGTATGGAAGGCTCAAACGGAGGAGGCTAATTCACTGTACTCACTCCTCCTTGAGGTAAAGGTTTTGTTGTGCATATCAAATTCATAAAGCTCATTTATCCAATTTAATGCGTATATCTTCCTTTTAGAATCACACAGTTCTCTCTTTTGTTGGAACATCTGTCCAATTGTTTCACCAATTAGAATCATAACTTTTAGTTTAAAAAAAGTATATAATATCCTCTCAAACTTATTAATATTTTGTCAAATAGAGCGTATAAAACTATTACAGATTATAACACTGCCATCATGTGAGGAATATACAGTGATCTTGTGAATATATTTTGTGTGCTTGACATTTCGATCCACATTATAAGTCATTGAGGTCTTCGGAAGCTGCAAATTCCATGAATTACAAACACAACGAGGTTGAGAGTAATCATCAGAAGAATAAATGAACTCGGGAATGTGATAATATCGTTCTTATGCAAAGTGAGACTCAATGAAAATTACAGATAGCTGGAATTCAACCACATTTTGAAATATTTGTTATACTTTTTTTATTTTTTTTAGTTTTCTAAATCACGTATTTAAATATGTTAAGTTAGTTTATATTAGAGTTTTTTGTATACGCAAAAATTTTAATACAAAATTTTACTTAAGTGATATTGAGCCTCTTGCTCTTCAGAATAACTGTGTTGATAAATTTGCAGATAAATTTATGTTATGTAACATCTAAAACCCATGTGTAAATATACGTTAATTTTCATGAATGAAATTAAGCCTTGTTGGCATTAGATAGCTATGAAAATAAAATAAAGATGAGATAGGAACATGTCCAACGTTGTGACAAACCATAATTCAGGAGAACTTAATTAGTCACGACATTGACGCTGCTGTGAGTTCTTATTTTTTGACGCATTTCCTATTTGAAATTTGAATCATCCTCTCCCTCTTAAATTAAATCCACAAAAATAGGAAAATATGTGTGGAACAGAAACAGAATTTAAGTAACAAAATCCAGATAAAAAGTAGTTAATATATATTTTTATTTTCTTTATTTAACATATCTGATAAACCTTTCATAACTTAGTAAAATCTGTTGTATTTTTTAATATAAAAATTATTATAAAAGTATTTTTTAATTAATTTAACCATTCAATTATAATCATACACTAGAACACCTAATTTAAATTTTTCAAAATTAAATAATAATAAAAATAGAATTAAAGGTCCTTATTTTTATTAAAATATATATTATAACAAAACTATATAATAAAAAATTATTAAATAGTGTAAAAATAAGTGTTATCGATATAATTTAATTTTTCTTCCTTTTAAATGCTGATATAGTGTTTTTAAAGTAATTTGTAGTATTTTTTTACTAGAACAAAATTTAAGGTAAATAAAAAATTAGTATTGTAATTTAATTAATAGCATAAAAATACTATTATTTAATTATAGATGTCATAATAGTAAAAATTATTAACTTTTTAAGAATTATATTTATGATCTATTTTGATTATTTAATAGTATTGTAACTTTGTCATACCAATAATACATCAAAATTAAACTCTTAATATTCTTATAGTGTAAAAGTAAAATAAAAAATAAAAATATGGATTCAAAATATAATCTTTTTAATAATATGAACATAAAATGTTTGTAAATTTTTATATTTATAATAATTAAAAAAATCAAAGTAATATAAAATTATTTTAAATTAAATTGCAAACTATCTCTTTGACTTCCAGCAGGATTCCATAATGTTATACGAAGTAGTCTCCCCCTAAACCTAAGCTAAAGAAATCGTAAAGTAAACTCACTGACTTATATATATATATATATATATATGATATTAAATAATTATAAAAAATTAATGTGTTTTAATGTCTGAGATTCTGATCAAGATCATGGAGAATAATGGCAAGACTTGTACACTTTGAAAAATTAATATGTAAATCAACTATATATGAAATTGATTTCTTTGGATCGTTAAGGAAATATCAGAAAAGAGATGTAAAAGGGTCAATATGTATATGATTTTCAAAGGTAACATTATTACCAAGTCATAGAAACATGATCACTCAATTTATCCAGCAAAGGGAGGGACCCAAAGCGCCTGCTTCAACGCGGAAAGAAACAGAACGAGGAGATGATGAGTCACTTACATCAACCCAAAGTCGGTGTGTGTGTGGAGGTTTCGTTTTGATTATTTCGTTGAAATCAAAACACCATAACATTTGCTTATGCATCACAGAGAGAAAAAACAGTACCCTTTCAAATATTTCACTGTTACGAAGATTGGGTCTTCCATGACGTTTACAAAACCCTACAGGCTCGCTGCTGGCATCTGCTCTTACGTAAACATCCCTTTTTTATATATATTTTACTGAATTTTGTTATCTTAATAGTTTTTAAATCTTTTTTAGTTTTGATCTTTATATTTTTATAAATTCTTGTTTTTAGTTTATTTCACTGATGTATGGACTGTGTTAGTCATACAGATTAAAAATAAAAATTTATACAAAATTTATTTGAAGAAATTTTTAAAATACTAAAATATAAGAATAAAAAAATATACTTCATTATTTTTAGTTCAACCTTAAAGTTTGGTCAAAAGTCCCAAAATAATAATAACAACAAATTATGAATTCCTCGTAAGGGTGGCCAATAACGGACCTACATCGTCTACTAACAGTTTAACATTAAATTAACCATTATTAGTATAACTCTTAAAACAAAATTTAAATGTTAGAGACATTATAAGTTTATAATAATAATAATATAATTTAATTATTATACTAAAAAATAATTTTTCAGTAAAACTATTAATATATACTAATACATTAAATGTTAGTAGTATAATTTTTTTAATTTTATATTAATAATTTTTGTTAGACAAATATTATATTAATGAAGATTATTCTAATAACTTGGTTACACAGAGACAGGAGTCATGTTTTCACATGAGATTCGTTACAAGCGGATAAAAATCTCAAAGTTGCCCAAAAATTGCTAACCAATTTCGAAAACAAAAGTCAAAGCACTCGTGGTTGAACACTCCTCTGTCAATTAAGCATTCAACGGTTGATCTACGTTTATTTTGAAAAATAAAATGTGTTTTTATTCCTTTTTATATTATAAAAATGCTGTATTATATTTTTTTGTATATATTATTTTTAATAGTTACATAGAATTGGAATTAAAAATAATGTGATCTTGTTGTAATTAAATATTATCTTAAAAAAAAACATTTTCTCAAATTGGCTACCTCTTGACTCCTATAGTTACTTTAGAGATAAAAGTGATATGCTTGTGAGAATAAATGCCTTGATCTTGCGTTTTGGTGTACAAATTATAAAGATCGTTAAAGTCATTTTTTTTCTTGTAATAATTTTTTTGATACACATAACTAAGAATTTAGTGTTATAAGTTATATAAAAAAAATTATAATATAAGTTAAAATATATACAAAAACTATAAGATATTTTTGTAAACTCTTTCAAATACACATCTTATCATAATAAAGCATGTCACATGTTAACATGTTAACATTGAAAACATTTTTTTTCCATATAAACATCTTAGTTGTACACTTTTTAAACATTTTTAATAACTTTTTTATATATATTTCAGTGAATAATTTCTGTCTCACCAAAATAAGCTATGAATTCATACCATTTAACAGCCTACATTTGAAAATTTTTATTTTAGAAAATTTTATAGTTTTGAAAATTAATAGAGCAGTATTTCAATGATAATTTGTAATTATCCAGTTATTTTTGTTGATTCACGAAATGAGTATTGACTAAAAATTTTAAGAAATTGAAAATTCTTTCTTGATTAAATAAATAATTAAAAGAATAAATATTATATAGTATATTTAACTAAATAATTCAATTAAATAATTATATAATATATTCTTATTACATGAAATTTATTAAAAAAAATTACAATAAACATGTTACAAAACGAGACAGACATGTGATATATAAGAGGAATAGTGCACATAAACTTGATCTCATTTTTAAGAATGGAGAGTAAACTATATTTTATATCAGCAAATATTTTATGATCACACAAATATTTAAGAATTCACATGAAATGGAAAATATTGATTTAAAAATATTAAATAAAATAATATTTTAATGGAAGTAAAAAATATTTAAAAATAACGAGTGTTTGAAACTTTAGTTGTGAAAAAAAAATTAAAAATAGTTTGATTTATAGAACATTGTTACAATTATGATTTACACATATCTCGTCATATTTAATGTTGATTGAAAAATTATTGTATTAATTAATATAATTAAAAAGTTATATTTTATGGTACCTTTAAAAAAATTTAGGATACTGTATAGAAAAAATTTTAACCAATAATGTTTAAATATGTATTTAAATAATATATTTATTTAATAATAGATTATTATATTTTTATTTTATTTTATTTATTACTCAGTCTCTCAAGTTTAAATATATGATGTTGGATTAGATGCTACAATTAGTTACTTATCACAAGGTATTAATTATTTTTCAACTTCGTCCATATCTTTCAATATCTATATGTGTGTGAATTAAGAAAGCATGAGTACAATGAGCAAATATTATAATCAGATAAATTTGTATTTTTAAAAGTAGAATATTGATGACTTTCACAATTATTATGTGGCAATTATTTTGAAATATAGGAAGATAAAGAGTGTTTTAATACTCAAAGACACACATATATACTAATGTATTTTACGGGTATATTAATTTTTTTTTGGTGATTATACTAAATTTAGAAAAAAGATAAAATTAAATAATATTAAACTATATAAAATTATAACATGTATTTTCATAATTAAATTAAATTAAACTAAAAATATAATAAATGTAAAAATGTAAAAATATAAATAATTGGAAATAAGTTAATTTTTTTTAATATAACGAGGTAAGAATGACTTTAAGAGATAAAAACCAAAAAAATAGTCAATTTTAAAATGAAATACTTAAATTTAATCTTTAAAAGTAAACAAATCTTAATATTTAGTGAATAAAAAAATAAATTTAAGTGTATGAAATAATTAAGAGTAATAACTAGAATGCCAACGATTAAGCTGGAAAAGAAAAATAAAAATTCAATGTAAAAGAAATAAATAAAAGTAATTGTTTCAAGATTATAGATTATTTCAAATTTTGAAAAAATTAAAACTTTAGAGAACTTTTACAATTGCAAGAGAAACTGAATAAGAGTAAATTTTAAAAATTATGAAATTTTTAGTCTACTGTATAAAATTAAATTAAGAATCTTGCTAATTAATATTATTAATTAATAAATTAAAATAATTATTTGTTTAATATTAAATTAAAATCGTAATGTAATAACATTTTTAATTAATATTTTGGCTTTAATTTTTTTAATACATTAAGAATGGGGTCACATTTATCTTGGATGAATCTATAAATTTTTTGGAAAAAAATGTGTAATTTTATATTTATTTAGTTTAACCAGTTTTTGATATAATCAACTTTTAAACCTATATTTTTTTGGCGGGGTGACACATATGCGACTTGTTCAACTTGCGAGATTCTTCGTATCTGTGGCTTATTAGATCAGCGAAAGAGAGATCACAGGAAAATTAGGCTTAAGAGAAGTGATTAGGTTTGGTTACACAAAAACCATACAAAATGATTACATAATTTTCCCTTATCTTGGGTGTGTCAGAGAGAGGATGACCTATTCAAAATGGTATTTTATTGGATGGTATTGCCATCATAAGGTTCCCAATATGGATTGCATAGACGTTTTCTTGCTTCCATAACCGCGTGGAAGTTTCCACCCTCGTTCCCAACTTGACAAAATTTCTAACTTTACACGGTTAATATCTCTGTCCCACCTACACTTCACTTTTTGGACTCTACTGCATCCATCTTTATATATTTAATTCACCTCATTCGAATTTTGCAAGCGGTAAAGTAAAATCTCTACACAACAATCAATGGAAGATCATCCACCTGGGTTTCGTTTCTTCCCAACGGAAGAAGAGCTAGTTGGCTTCTACCTACACAACAAACTAGAAGGCAAAAGAAACTCCATAGACAGAGTTATCCCAGTTATTGACATCAATGGCGTAGAACCGTGGAACCTTCCAAGTACATCTTCGTTTTCAGCTATTCAGCGTTTTATCATGATTCATTAATTAATGGTTCAATGGGTATTTCTTTTTTTAATTTATCTTGCAATGTGTTTGTTGTTGTTGTATGCAGCACTTGCAGGGGAGCTTTGTCGTGGGGACACGGAGCAGTGGTTTTTCTTTACACCTGGTCAAGAGAGAGAAGCCAGAGGAGGTAGACCCAGCAGAACCACGTCTTGTGGGTATTGGAAAGCCACTGGTTCTCCTGGCTATGTTTATTCTTCTGATAACAAAGTCATTGGAATGAAAAAATCCATGGTATTCTACAAAGGAAAAGCTCCTACTGGTAGGAAAACCAAATGGAAGATGAATGAATATAGAGCCATCCAAGTCCCCGACAAATCCATCACTTCCATCCCTCAGGTATATATTATATGAAAAATGTTTCTTTTGTCCCATTAATTCCATGCATGAAAAGTGAAATAAAAGAGGTAAAGTATTGTAAATAATTTTATTATTCTACTTCAATAACCTGCTTTTAACATTGTACTTGGATTTCATTTGGTGATTAGTTGAGAAGGGAATTCAGCCTGTGCCGGGTTTATGTCATATCGGGAAGCTTTCGATCATTTGATCGACGTCCATCAGAGAATGGAAGAGTGGAGAACAGGTTTTCTGCGGCACATGCTAAACACGCTGCGAGAATCGATGGTTCAAGTTCTTCTCATACTACTTCTCACTTAGAGGGGGTTCATACCGCTACACTGACAGAGCCTGGAGAATCATGTAGCACAAATTGGAATGTGAATTATAATGAGGTCAAACTCCAAGAACCGTTGTGGGAGTTCGAATGGGAACAATTCAATTGGGTCTAACTCTAACCCAAACTGAGACCTCAAGAAAGACCCATTAGAAGAATACGAGAAGATCATATGTAACATGATCAATATTTGTTTTTTCAGATTAGGATTCATTAAGTATAGAAGATTATAAGCAGGATTTTTGTTACTTACCCCCAATTCAGTCTCCAGATAGCTAGTGCTTTATTCAATTTGAATATCTAGTCCATTTCTTAACAACACCCGCACAAGCCTTTGTAAATTATGCCAAATAAAACTGACAATGAATCAAAATGTTAACTCTTCTATCAATTTAATCTTCTGACATTTCCTTTAATATGTATACACACTAATTTAACATTTTTATACTTCTAATGACAAGTTTTTGCATTCAGACGAGCCTTCTCGTGAGATTTTTAATTTTTAAAATTTCTTCACCAAAAACAAATTAACATTTTTTTACTAATTGTGCCCAAGCAGCCGAATTCCCAACAAGGGAAGGAAAATTTACTAATTATTATTAGATATGATTTACAGAAGATTTAGATGATGATAAAATACATTTAGTATATTATAAAAAATGTTTAAAAAAATTAGGTAAAACTAATTCATCAGAGAATTGAGGAAGATATTTATAATTTATAGTAAAAATATTTATTCTTATCTTATCCTCTGAGAAACAGAAAATGATAGAACGACCAACCAGCTAATAGCACGTGCGTTGGACTTGGGGTGCCCTGCCCTCGGTGTTACTCTATTATTTCCCGCACAACAAATCACGATGGACTTCCCGGTACGTGCGAAACGTGGCCCACTGATGGAACTGAAAACTACCATATTCAATTCAAAATTTAAGAAATCAAAATAATAGTAATTAAATTAAATTAAATAATATGTAAAATTTGAAGTTCTAAACGTTTTGTTTTGATAACAACAATCTCGTTCTGGTTTTCAATGGGAACTAGAAGATCTAGCTAGAAAGGGAATAAATAGTAGAAGAGAACGTTCTCCGTGATCTTCTAGAAAGTTCTTCGCCGATGGCGATCCTCTACGCTTTGGTGGCCAGAGGTACGGTGGTGCTGGCGGAGTTCAGCGCCGTCACCGGCAACACAGGCGCCGTCGCCCGCCGTATCCTCGAGAAGCTTCCGGCAGAGTCTGATTCTAGGCTTTGCTTCTCTCAGGATCGCTACATCTTTCACATTCTCCGATCCGATGGCATCACCTACCTCTGTATGGCCAACGACACCTTTGGAAGTGAGTTCTTCTCGCAATTCGTGCTTCTGTTTTTCCTTCTTCTCAATCGTAATCTTAATCCACTCGTTATACTATCCGATTCGCTTTCATTAGAAACAAACATAGGATCTACTACAGAGTCATGTGTTAGATGCTAGCTTGAAGTCCCTGTGAGATGCGTAGCGTTGCTGGGACGAAATCTTCTTCATAACCTCTTATTTTCGTTTCAAGAAATAAAAAATCACAATTGATGATCGTGTATTCAATAAATTCGAAAGAGACGGGAAAAATTTAGGGTTTGACCGGAAAAAAGGAAATAGGTATCAAGGCCAGCCGGCCTTGATATCTTCAATTACAGATAAATGTTCTATAGAACGAGGAATCTATTGTTTGATTACTTTCCAGTGTATGAAAGGGTTGTGAGAAAAAAAAAAACTTTCAGTATTGATCTGCTAAATTGAACAAAGCTGAGATTGAAGTCTGCTAGCTTGTCTCTGTATCAGTTCTTCATAGACTTGGAAATTCAACTGTTGTGCAGAGTGATGTTCTTGAGAGTCGTTTGCAGCTTCTACTGAATGTTGGGACTGGCAACCTCTTAGTAAGAGCTCCCCGATTGTTTGAGATTTCCTGCTCTTGACAGGGCAGTGGCATGATGGAGTAGATGACTTTCATAGTTAATGCCTCTGAAAGAGGCTTTTCCTAGATTATCCCTACTTGGGGTAAATGTTATGAGAGAAATGCTAGCAAGCAGCAACACTCTCTCAAATACACCCTTTTTAATACACTCTTAGTTATTCGCTAAAGTTTATTAAAAACTACAAAAATCATGTGGGCTCCACTCTTTTTCAATTCTAATTTAATGATCATCCCATACTTTTGTAATTTTCAATAAATGTTAACCAATAATTAAGAGTGTATGAAATAGAGTGTGTATATGTTCCTAGTACTCCTCACGTTATGATACACAATATCCTGTCACCTAAACTTGATCTAAACTTTGTTTTTTGGCTAAACAACTGATGAAGAAGATTGTCCAATAATTGTTTGACTGAACCCCATTGCTCTTTAATGTGTACTTGTGTACAACTTTAGCTTCTTAAATTAGAGGAAATGTTGTTGCTGGATACCCATACACACAAATAATGAACTCCAATAAGGCTTCCAGATTTAGCCAGTGATCAAATGCCATCTCCCTGATACAAGTATTTTACTGCACCAAATGAGGTTTTTGAAACACTTAGGGAACTCTGTGTTAAGTTTAACAATTTGCATTTTTTATAGCTTCCTCCTGATTGAAGTTTCCTAATTAGTTGTATTTAGAAAATGCAGACCTAGATCACCTTAAGAAAAATAGATTTTCATTATTGTGTTTCTTTGTAATCCTGGTAGGGTCTATTCTTCTAGTGCCAATAATAGGATATTGTCCTGCAAAGTTGATTTATAGTTTAGATGACAGTTGAAACTAACCATTAGTGCTTTCTGCATGAATGTCCTTCCTGCTGATGCATAACAGATACAGAGATAATTTTATCTCAAAGAGGAAAAGGGGAGAGGGTAGAGCTAAACTAGGCCCCTTACAACTACATAAGATTTGATATAACATTGTTCTATAGTCCTTTATTCACTCTTTAACTATAAGGATCTTTTCAGCTATTCTCCTCAGTCCTCACTCCTCACTATCAATTAGGTCAGATTTCTTCCAGCCTAGGAATCGGTTGATGACTCCTAACTCTATCAGCAAGTAGTAATCACATGCTTATAATTGATAAAAAGACGTGTATAACCTGACGCTTATAAACCTGTAAAGCCCACAAGTTCACCCCTGATAAATCTATACGTTTATGCAAGGCTCCAACTGTCTTGAAACTTCTGTCAGGGAAGTTTGTTAGCTTTTCAATATTCATTACTGAAGTAGTTCCCCAATTTAATCTTTACTGGTACAAGCTGTTGCATATTTTTTTCTTGTGAAAAACAATTAACTGAAAGCTGATTTAGAGGATTAGTACATATATCTCTTCATTAACAATAACTAGCAAGCTCAAAAATGTTATCCAAGCTATTACTATGCAGTTTTAATCTTCATGCTGTTTTTTTATGTGCTAACATGTCCTATCTTTGGTTTATTCAGGGAGAATCCCTTTTTCATACTTGGAAGATGTCCAAATGAGATTTATGAAGAACTATGGTAGAGTTGTCAATTATGCACCAGCTTATGCAATGAATGATGAGTTTTCAAGGGTTTTGCATCAGCAAATGGAATTTTTTTCTAGTAATCCTAGTGTCGATACCCTCAATCGTGTCAGGGGTGAAGTTGGTGAGGCAAGTGCATTTCAACGAAAACTCTGTACCTCCTTATATTTTGTCTCTCTCATTTATCCCCACCATTTTATTTATCTAGCACAAAGTGAGGAGTGAGAAATCAAGTTTCAAAATATGATAGGTGAAATTGAGCTTTGGTTTATTCAATATGCAACCCTATTTTTTGTTGATAAATTTCCCTTCTTTCAGGATATGAACTGAAACTGACTGATAATTTTGCTTAACATATTATCTGCTTAATGTAATAACACCAACCAATCTTGTTTACGGGACCAAAGAAAAACACAAATGTGACATGTATATATTTGTTCTTGCCCCAGTTTTTACGTTCAACAAAAGATGAATGCCATGATAATGAGTTATTATATATAGGATTTATCTTAATAGAAAGCTGGTAAGCCTAGCAGAGGTGGTATACCTTTGACCTGAAATGTTCTGGTGCCTTTGCAAGTTCATGGCTCATCCCAGGGTGTGATAGCCAAGAATGTTGGAAAAGTTATCCACTTTCTTCGTGAAAATCATTGTAAATTGATTGCTTTGCAAACATGTTTATGAAGAGCATTCTATTGGATTTCAAGTTGTATAGATGCTGTAGTGTTATTTACTCTATTGATGTTTCACATGATGAATCTTTGTCTATTTCAGTCCCCTCACTTAATTTTTGCAAAGTCAGTGACATTAAAACCTTCAATCTATCATACAGATACGTACAATCATGGTGGACAATATCGAGAAAATATTGGAGAGAGGTGACCGGATTGAACTTCTTGTTGACAAGACAGCAACAATGCAAGACAGTGCATTTCACTTTAGGAAACAGTCAAAGCGCCTTCGAAGAGCTCTTTGGATGAAAAATTTCAAACTCTTGTGAGTAAAATTTCTATCATATGCTTAATATAAAGAAAGTGCATTTTTGAAGTTAGACATTTTAGATCTGGGATACCGAAAATAGTTTGGATTTAAAGGTCAGATGACTTAGCTTTTTGCCCTTTTCTTCTATCCGTGTCTTCACTGAATGTTTTTTTGGTCTTTGACAGGGCCTTATTGACATGCTTGATTGTAATCGTTCTTTATTTGATAATTGCTGCTTGTTGTGGAGGCATCACTCTACCATCCTGCAGGTCCTAATTGCAACTCCTGCTGGTTTATGTATTTTCTGAGCTCTGCAATTTCGGATTCAAACTTATGAGCCGAAAGGGTCCAGAAACTGTTAAATGTATTTTCTTGTTTATGTCGTTTTTAGTTCTGTATTATAGAAGTACATGCTGCAGCATGATAAGGTACTATCTGTGATTATGGGCCATCCTTCTGTAAATGTGGATTTTTACTATCTTACTATCTTTCATAATCTATGTTTAAATTATTTGTTTAGAAAAAAATTGAAATTATAGTTAAGAATGATCGTCTCCCTGTCTCCCTGTTCCCTTTAGTCGTGGACGGTTCTATATTTTCATTGCAACACTGATTTTATATGATAAATTGATCCTGCATTGCCTAGATGACTGATATAATATAAAATGGCTTATTGGACACCAATGATGATGGAAGAAGCTTAAGTTACTGAAAAGTAGAAAATGAATATAATTGGAAGAAGCAGCCTTCGAGTTTCAAAATAAGGTTAAAACACAAAGGCATGTGGTATGACAATTGTTTGGTAAGTTACTGTGATTTATTTGGCCGGATTAATAAGAGAGTAGCTCTCAAATTTTGATAAGCCTCCTAGGAGGAAGAAACTGAAACAGAAATGGTTGATGGTGTGGCAAATTTAGATTTAAAAAAGGCAAAGGTGTGGCAGATAGAGTATCCTGTGTTTGAATCTTCAATTCGGTGCGATGATTGGAATGAGTATTTTACTACTCATCTAGTAGCTGAAAAAACATGGCTGTGTGAGGTTGATCACGATATATATTGGCTAAAGTAGATGATCAGCCTTTTGATTTGGATAAGATGGTATTCATGGATTAAAGGCGATCCCATCTGGGAAATAAACCCTACTTGCATAAATTATCTTAAAAAAGTTTTCTTGGCCGTCCACATTTATCATAACTGGGGGTAAATGGAAAGAAGGATGATTTGAAACCTTAATAACTGCTTAAATTCTTCTCTTCAAGTTTTACTTCAAAGGACCTTGCTTGATTATGCATTTCACTCTTTGGACAGCCACGAATCTTTCCAGGTTTGATATTGTCAATATCTTACAAAGTATAGTGTAACATTAGTTTGAATGATGAATATTTTTCTCCAGATGGGAGGATGTGATTTGTGAAATACATCTCCTACATTTTTTTAACTGCTGAACTTGCTTGATTACTAGGATTAATTTGTCATCAGTAATACTTCTAAATTGTTTTAGTTGAATGTGAATTGACATCCAATCCTAATACAAATAATATATTTGTTAAGATCTCTCGTATTGGTTAAAAATAGAGTCAGAATACTTTTTATAAAGGTTAGGACAGTCCTTCTCTCATGAGCTAGCTTTTAGAAGTGAGTTAGGCTTAAGTTTCTTAACAATATTTTGATTCTATGTGTTACCTCTTTAGCTATAGATCTATGTTTTACATTACGACTTGAAGTTTTTCATTTCATAATAGTAGTCTTTTTAGTTTAAATTTGTCTTTTTACTTGCATCAGGAATAATCTAATTTAAATATGCCCATGTACCGGTGATGGAGCACAATGTGGGCATCCACCTTTTCTTACAAAAAAATATATTCTCTCATGTTACACCCTTGCCATGTACTCTGCTATATCATAAATCTTAATACTGCTGTATATCTGTTTTTACCATATACATTTTTTTAACCTTGAAAGTAGTATTTCTTCGACAAACATGGAACGTCAGATAGCCGTAGATGAAGAGAAATGTTACAACATAAAAAATCAAGCATATCATGTGGTGCAAATGTCAACCCAAACACCGTTTCTGCAGATGCAATGAGAACAAAGTATTCATAATTATTATTTCCAGATATTGGAGACGGGCCTAATGGAGTTCCCTGGAGACGACCAAGATATTGTATAGAACAACTCTAAGGGTGGTTTTGTCACTTCCGTGGGCGGAAGCTGTATAAATTCAATAGGTGGAGTGAATTCTACATATTATGCAAGAGTTTTTTGAATTGATGGAGTCGATAAATGAGAGGCTTTGAGAATAGTTATGCCGCTGAAATTGGAAGGAGAAGAATTGATTGGTGTTGAGTAAATTTATTTTGTCCGCAAACTAGAAGGAGGAATTGTAACTCAGTAGAGATGCAGAAGGTGAAGGTAGGTTTCATAGATGGGTAGTGAAAATGTCGAGGATATTCATGCTTTGGTGGTAGCGTATAAGCTGGTCGGGTTGGTTAAAGATGAGGTACTGTCGGAGTGGCCTTATGCAGTGGCGGATTCTGGTGAGTGACTCGCGCAGCTGGTGCTGATGTGTCCTTCGAAGTTCCAAGCACTGGTGGTGAAGCTGAAGAACGTGCTTCTGGTGGTTGTGGCTTGGAGTGCGAGAAGGACGAGGACGCTGACCCACCATGGCAGGGAGGAGCCTGTGGCGGCTAATATAATCTTGGAGCTGATCAATGTGGCGGAAGAGTCGGTCCACGTGGTAGCGGCTCTGCGGATGTGGGTGGTAGCGATGGAGCTGGGTGAGCCAGGTAGACTGGCGAAGATGGCGGAGCACCACCGTAATGCGGCGGAGTGGAAAAAACGGCGGGCACCCTGACGCCATAGCCATGGGGGAAATGGTAGTATTATATATAAATGAGAAGCTAGGGGAGTATTCAAATTGGGCATGAAGTAGTGTATAAATGCAGAAAAAGTAGGAAGAATAGAATTTGCATGGTATGGGAGAGATGTGATGTCAGCTTAAGCTGTGGCTAGGTGGGTGGAATTGATATCTGTCTTCACCGTCTTGCACTTCATTTATGGATAATACTACTTTGGTGGCGGATTCATGCATGGGTGGTAAGAGCATGCGTCAAAAATATGTTTGTCATGTGGATTTTCCTAGCGGGTCTCTCATAAGCTTGTTGCTTTACACACGTGTCACTCCCATTCTTCACGAGACACTAAACATCCATTTTGCCTGTGGAAACTGTTGGCATGCATCACAGGATCTATTGATCATGCCTCTGTCACATGCTGTATGTGGCAAGATTCTTGGACGTTAATGGAATAGTAGATTTTTCTTGCATTGTGTTATCCAATTTGTACAGCATCAATTATAGCAATATTTGAATTTTGAAAAGTGCAATTCAGGAGGGGGGGGGGGGGGGGGAGAGAGAGAGAGACTCGACCAAAATAATACACATTTAATGACTCGTTGGTATTATTCAAAATCATTTCCAAATCCCAGCAAACAAAATTTTTACATAATAAGGTCGTCAATAAATTTTGTGTGCATCTCTTTCTTAAATCATGATTTAAGAGCTTCACTTTTCTTTTCGGTCATATTTCATTAGTTTCATAAGGTTTGAAAAATAAAATCAATGATAGATATTAAATAATTTTTATCTGGTTAATACTTGACAAAAGAAATATAAGAGTTAAACATGACATATAGGTACAAGAAGATGGCTAGTACTTATTTTTGGTTTCAAGCCTTGAACTTCATTTTTGTTTATTTTTAACTCAAAATTTTCCATTAATAGTTAAATCAATTTATAAGTACCTGCACTTTTATAAAAAAAATAATTTAAATAAGTCTCTTTACCTTAGTAGTTCTAGATCCAGGTGATGATGCTTATGTGTCATTATATGAGGAGTGTTATAAAATACGATAGAGAATCATTAAACTAAAAACAAGAATAAGTAAATTATGGTTGAGATTCACATAAATTTTTTATTTTTAATAAATTTTCACTAATAATTAAAAATGAGAAGATCTAACTAATTTGTGATTATGCTAGTTTCCAGCTTTGGTAATTATGTATATGATGTCAACAAGTAAGAGATTATCTACCATTAATTTAAATTAAAATATTACTTAATGAATGTAAATAATTTAAAATTAATGAAGATAAACATTCATTTTTTACATTTTCTTACTTCAGATAAGTTAAATATTGCTTTTACTTTTAGAAATACTACAGAACCGTGATTCATTCGATTAAAAATTTTATCAGTGATTTGAAAATATATCATGCTTCTTAATATTGATTGAGGGTTTTTGAACGTTATTTTAAGAAATTAAGAAATGTACCTTTTTTTTATTAAATAACTTATGACCAAGTGTATTGTTGCTGCATGCCACCCGAGGCTATTCTTTTTGTCAACTCCCAAGGCTCTAAATGATCATCACGTTATGGTAAAGGGCACTTTGTTAAGCCCAACAAGCCGATACGTGGTTTCTTACCAGGCTTAGCTTTAGGGTAGTTTAGGCTGGCGGTCACCCGAGGCCAAGTCTGAAAGGAAGCTAAAGTAAAAACTGTTAATTATAGTTTACAGTTTGAAAAAAAAAAAAAAATTCAATTTTTTGCATTTCGCTTGCCATAAATAATGTTAACTCTTTAACTTTTCTAGACTCAAAATTTCTTTTAATTTCTAAATTTTACTCTTTTTAGCATTAAAGTTTACAAAAACTTTTAATTTTCTCCAAAAAATTAAACAATTTTTAGCATTAAACCTTTTCTATTTTTCCATAACCATAGCAATGACAAATATTTTTTAGCATTAAAGCTTATAGAAACTTTTTGTTTTCTCCAAAAAAATAAAACAATACATACCATTAAATCTTCTCTATTTTTTCATAACCGTGGCAACAAAAAATATTTTTTACAAGTTAAAAAGAACCAAATTTAATTTGAGTAATGCATCACTTATCAGTTATAAACTTCAATCAATTGAAGTTATCAATTTTATTTATACCTAAGAGTCAAAAGATTGAGAGTTTAAAATTCAAAAAATAAATTTTTTGAGGAATCTCGACGACAATTTTGGCACTATAGTTCTCTCTCTGACCGTCCTATATGGTTGTCAAGCTGGGTCGAAGTGTTAAAGAATCAACGTTGCACCTGCTAGCTGCTGGTCACCATAGTTGATATTTAATAGTTCCATATACAATTTTACATTTTGCCAGAATCCAAAACCACCATTGTTGCAAGTCATTTTTTTCCTCCTCACTTTTATTTCTTGTAAGCTTTTAATCTTAATTTAACAGTAAACCCTCATTTTAGTTCCTTATATTGTTAGTGTTTGATATTTTAGTATCTGAAATATTTAAAATATCACGTTAATCTCTGACTTTCATCTCTATTGGGCATTATAGTCCATAAACTCACACCGTTAACAAACACTAATAAAACGCCTATATGTCACATTAAATGTCATGTTAAGAGCTCAATTGATAGAAATGACATTATTTTGAATGACTGGAGAAGATAATGTGACCAAATAGTTGACAGAAATAGCATTGTACTAAAAAATTAAAAATTGCCCTAATTGTCCAAACATATCAGTATATTTTCCATTTTTATTTTGAGAATAACTCTAATATTTTTCTCAAATTCTCTCCCAAATTAAAAATTGTAGTTATGTTTGATATTAAAAAAGTTAAAATTAAAGTTTATTATACTCGTAAGAAGAAGAATCACATAAAAAATTTGATAACTTTTTTTTTTTAATTCATTACATGTACTTATAAACTTAGTTATCACTCTGACGCATATGTTGATACTATGCTTATAAATGCCTATTCTGTTGGTGTAAAGGTTGATGCTGCACATCGAGTGTTCGATGGCATTTATTGTAAGGACATGGTATCTCTCATTGGAATGGTGGCTTGCTATGTTGAGAATTCTTGCCATGAGAATGCATTGATACTTTTCTACCATATGAGAATTATGAAGTATACACCAAACAATTTTACCATTTTTGCTGCTCTTAAGTCCTATCTTAGTCTGAAAGCATTTGAGCTTGGGAAAGTTGTTCATAGATGTGCTTTGAAAGCTTGTTATGATAGGAATCTTTATCTTGGCATTGCACTGCTTGAATTGTACTATAAATCTGTAGAGATTATTGATGTGCAACAGTTCTCTTTTTAAGAAATGTCAACTAAATTTCTAACATGGTACTTAACGTAACACATGTATTTTAAATAATTCAAAAACTTAAATGTTAGATACTAACAATTTAAGAAAAATGAAAATTTAGTCTTTAATTTAATATATGACATGTATTTATAGATTTTAATTAAAATAGCTTTATATAAGTTGTTTTTCATTCTCTAATTTTTTTTAATAAATTATAGTATATAGAAAAAATTGTATTCACTTAAAAAAATATATTATTTTAATAAAATTATTAACATATATCTTTATTTTATTCTATTACATTCTATAATTTTTTTTTTAAAAGGAGACTAAATTTACTGTCTTGTTTGGGGCCAAAAAGGCTAAGAACGAGCATAATAATTACCTTAAAAGTAATAGCTAAATTCACTATTAGAGCTTTGCAGCAAACCACGTGATTTACCATGAATTTGTCCACATCAAGAAGCTACAGCCATTTTTCATTTTAATAGAAGGTTTTAAATAACAATTCATTCAAGATCCTGCAAAATCACGATATATATATATATATATATATATATATATATGGAAAAAAAGTTACTACAAAACGACATGTCGTCTCTGAATCTTAAGAAATTTACAAGGCTTTGGACCATAACAAGAGTGGGCTTTAAGTCCATGGGCCATGATTCAGTTTTTTTTTCATTGGGAATCTGTTTTTATATGCAAAGCACACTTGGACACAAAGTTGCCAGTTACGACCCAGCCACCGTGACCCTTCAGGAATAAAAAATTTTCTCTCGTTTTCCCGAGAAAACTCATGCTCGATATTCTTGAACTGAAACCGGTTTGCGTATTCTGTCTTAAGCGTTCGAAATCGAATCGATGAGGCCAATTCAACTTCCTGAGCCGCCGAGCCCTACCGCACGGAGAGGAACTCCTGATATCTTCGAATCTGGACTTCACACCTTCGTTCGACGCGCCGTCGTCATCGGCAACGGTTTCCCCGCATCGGAGAATCAGAGCATCGGATTGGTTCGCGCCCTTGGCCTCTCAGATAAGCACATCTTATATGTAAGAATATTACTTTTATGTTTTTCTGCAACTAATTTTTCACACACAAAGTTTCAACATAGCTATTGAGTAAAACTACTAGTTTCGTTTTGAACTGGAATTTATCTCGAGTGAGAAATGGCGCATTTGTGGTTATTTGCTGAAAATATATAGCAGTAGTCATAGTGATCGCTCTGAGACGAAAATTCCGGTATTTGTCCCGGGATATCCATTGTGTGGATTAAATTAATCCCTTAGTTTAGGTGTTAGGAAATTTTAGAAATTAATTTGATGAGTGAATAAATTGAAGGCTTTCTATTCTGAAAAGTGAAAACTAATACTGTAAGGTTGTCAGTAGATAAACCGGAATGTAAAAATCGTAAGCGGGGAAATTGGACATGCAAATCAGAAGATCAGTTGAGAAATAATTTTGTCCAATGTAGAAAATATAAAATTTGCATTTGAAAGAGAAAATAAAAATTGAAGGGAAACTGCATCCATCTCTGGATCAATCATGGAAGATTTATCAAAGTAATATTGGGCAGTAGGCGTTATTTATAAACGCAATTCTGACAAGGAAGGGGTTTTTTCTTTTTTGTTTCTGATTATGCCAGTTCCTGCCTTATGAAGATTTCCTGGGGAAAGAAACAGTGAGATTTACTTCAGTTTTCTTATTTTAGATTGTCTAGTTACATACCTTTATTGGTACAGCATCTTGTTCATGTTGTATCCTCACTTGCCTTGTTCATGATATTATCTGCTACCAAAATGTGTTATGCGTTTATTGCTATGGCCACCTTTTCGTAATTTTCAACAACCGAATTTTCCTTTTTTAGAAAGCATTATTTTTCATCATGTTGAAAATGAAAGGACCTCTTAACAGCTGAATGAGTTACTTATCATTTTATGATTGACTTATTGCAGCGGGTTACCAGGCCAAAGGGGGGAGTTAATGAGTGGCTTCAATGGCTTCCAGTCACTGTCCATAAAAAAATATATTATATAGTAAGAATGATTCGCGGTTATTCTCAGCTTCTGTTGAAATCTCAAGAAAAGAAGCATGTTCCTTTACCTTCAGAAAATGGTCTCAGTGCAGGCTTGTTGGCTGTCTTAGAAGCTGATGTAAAGAAGATAGTAAATTTTGCTCGTGAAACTTACGAAAAGTACATTCTATTCCTTTTCACATTCTGTTCCTTTTCTTTGTAAAACTGGATCATACTGTAAATTGTTATGTGTATAGCTTGGGTCAGTTACTGTTTTTGTTGATTTCTTAGTGAAGACAGATTCAGATCGCTAACTACTCTGAAAAATAGCATTATACCTAATTACCTATATTTCAACTTGTTCTATTCAATATGTTAAGGTAGCATATAATGCGAATTGTGTTACTTGACAGTTTGTTCTTGCAATAATTATTTTGTACAGCTAAGACAGCTAGTAAAATTTGTACCAGATTTCCAATGCATTCATGTTAGACACCTTGTGTCTGTTGTGATTCTCTGGACAAAAATTTAACTTTTTGGCTGTCTAATATTTTTCCTACAAAAATCCTATCCATATTATGATTCTCATATCAAAGTAATATTAGTCCTGATTCATGTTCTTGAACTTTCTTCCTGTATTCTGTCGTCTATTTCTTAGATCTGCTTCATCTGATTCTTTGGCCACTTATAAAGAATGATATGATTGATATTTTATCTAGGGAGGGCCCTTTGTTGGTGGTAGCATGTGGAAGGGATACCATTTCTACTGCAAGTTCCATAAAACGTTTAGCATCTGAGAATGTTTTTGTTGTTCAGGTCGGTAGACTTCATGCATATACTCTTTACCCAACTTTTCTATGATATCTTGTAAATTATGAATTTTTTAGTGTGTACATAAATGTTTGGGATAATGGTCTGCTATTACTAATGTATTATTTTTCGTTTCAATCATTTATGATGCTAATCAATATTATTGCAATTCCTATAATGCAATATGAATAAATCCCTGTGCTTGTGTGTATAAAAGGCATGATTGCTATAATTTAGTTAGTTTTTCTTTTAACGAAGACTGAAAGGTAAAATAAAAAAATAGGCTGAATGACTTCTAATAACTTGAGCTAGTGATTGACAAAAGTGGGAGCAGTGACTGCTTTCCAAAACTCTAGGAGTAACAAACTACTTTGAGTTGGAAATATTTTTGTCTACTTTCGATCGTTAAAGCAGTCATGTTGTGCAATTCTTTGGCATGATCTTGCTAGGAAATAAAAAAACAAACTATTTGCTACTCCTATGCTTTCTTTCCCCTATGAACTACTGTCTTTTACTGTACTTCCTTTTAATTCTCTTATTTATCACATTAAGGGCTTTAAATTACAGTTGTGGTCATATTCTGTTGTTGTGGGCTGCTACAGTGACAAATTTGGAGCAATTATTGCAACCATATTACATGATGCAGTCTACCGTTTATTCTTTTAAAACCTTGTTTGAAAGCCTTTAGATTGCAGATATGTTAAGTTCAGGAATGCTTTTCCGAGTAAGCAATACTTAATTTAGTCATGACCAAATCAGTACTAAATGATACATAAGTTGTCTATAATCCCCAAAGAAGAAATGTATGTGCTCATTTATATCAAGTGTTAGAGTATGAGTATCTATGGTCTGATCTAAACTTCATTGGTAAATGGTGATGTGTTATTGGATTTGTATTTTGCTCTGATGTTCATTATTACACAAACATCAGCCCTGATTTCTGATTTTGATCTCTTTGTCTCACGACCAGATACAACATCCAAGATTTCATTTGAATAGGTTTGACATGGTGATTACCCCTAAGCATGATTATTATCCATTGACTCCAGAAGGACAGAAACAGGTTCCCCGGTTTCTTCAAAGTTGGATAACTCCTCGTGATCCTCCAGAAAGTCATGTGGTATGTATAATGTGCTTATGGTATGGATGTAAATAGCTTTTGCTTTGCTGGAAAACTGTTATTTTACCTTGTTGTTGGATACTGTCAATTTCTGAGGCTATTATGTGGTAATGTACATTCAGGTGCTCACAACGGGGGCACTACATCAAGTAGATTTCACTTCATTACGCAGTGCTGCTGTTACTTGGCATGATGAGTTTGCACATGTTCCCAGACCCTTGCTCGTTGTCAACATTGGAGGACCAACAAGTAATTCCTATTGTAAATTTAATCATTTGAAGTGTTCCTAAAACTTTAAAAACAAAATTAAGTTTTATAGTTTCAATTGCCAAAAAATTGGCAATTTGACTAATTTCCATAATTGAATTAGGCAACTGCCGATATGGTGTAGACCTTGCCAAGCAGTTAGCAGCCTCTTTGCTAAGCGTTCTTGTTAGTTGTGGGAGTGTTAGAATATCCTTTTCAGAGAGAACTCCACCAAAGGTATAGTCATTCTGAAGTTTCTCAATGTAATATCACTGAGCAACTCGTCCATCCATTTCTGACACTTTTTCTTCCCTCTATTTGGTCTTTTAAACAGGTGTCCAATGTTATAGTGAAAGAACTTGGGAATAATCCAAAAGTTTATATTTGGGACGGGCAAGGTAAAATTTTATTCCAGTTTTGATTCGGACATTTAAAATTTGTTTTAACAGAGAAACCTGACAGAAACACAACTTTCAGGACCTAACCTGCACATGGGCCATCTAGCTTGGGCTGATGCATTTGTTGTCACTGCTGATTCAGTCAGCATGATAAGTGAAGCTTGCACCACTGGGTATGCCTCTACAGAAGTATTTCTATGATCAGAATAATTAGATTTACTTTCTCTTGATACTATCATTTTATATTATTATTAAATGATTTTGTTCTACCCACAGGAAGCCTGTTTATGTTGCGGGAGCCGAGCGGTGCAGATGGAAGTTCACCGAATTCCACAAATCTTTGAGAGAGCTGGGGGTTGTTCGGCCTTTTACAGGTTCTGAGGATGTAAGTTAAAACGCGCAATGATTTTTAATCAAATACAAGAATTGAGGATTATTGTTGAAGGATTTTTGTTGCGGAATTACATATATTGGCCTAGTTTGGATACAAACTTTTCAGTAAATATTTATAGGAAAAGAAATGGAGAGATAAAATGGACAAAATTTCTCCTGAAAGTTAAATCAAATTAGCCACTTCACTTTTTGGAGAAGTTAAATATGAAAGATCTTTTGTGAGAAATTTGATTCATTCTACTACTTTATTTTCTTCTCCTACAAGTTCACATGGAAAAGTTTATCCTGAATCACTGTCAAGTTTGTATATTTTGTAATTGGTTTATGTTTTTCTCTAATTTTCAGATATCAGAAAGTTGGAGTTATCCACCCCTTACAGGTACTGCGGATGCTGCCAAACGGGTTCATGAAGCGCTTGCTGCCCGAGGGTGGAAACTGAAGATATAGAATGCAATTTGAAGTTGACATTATACGTTTCCCGGTTTTGTTTATTTGTCTAAAGGGGTAACCGTTTGTCGTTTTGACACGTAATTTTCTTCCATACCATGAATAGGAACAAATGGTATGCATGTAATCATTTTCACCATAGCAATTTTTGAATGTGAATGTAAAGTGTATGTTTTTGGCATTTTAAAGAATGCGGTGAACAATCATTGAGAAAAAAGAATGAGGTGAATAAAAAAGATTGTATTGAAAATTTTCCTTGTATTCGTTTTGTGCATTTTTATATGATATTTTCTTTGGCAATTAAATCCCACGAATACGCAATTTACTGTTTCAACGGAAGATAATCCGAAGCTTGGTTTGCCCTTGAGTGGTAAAAAAACATAATTATATAATGTTACTAAATTAACATTAAAACACCCAAGCTGCTGGCTGAAATTAATGTAATCAATTTGTGCTAAATTGCCAGTAGACAGTAGTTTGGGTTTACCTGAAATATGTGAATGGCTAAACCTTTTTGTTATTGCATATACAAAAGTATTAAAATTATGGTAATTTTGAGGTATGATATAGCCTAGTGTTGGTATATATATACAAAAAAATTTTATATTAGTGTAAGTTTAAAAACTTCACTTAATTTGAGTCTTTCATTTAACTTACATTTAATGAGTTATAATTTATTACTTTATTGGCCGTTAGATTTAAGTTAAATAAAAAATTCAAATTGAGTGTAAGAGTTTTTAGTCTTATATGAGTGTAAGAAAATTCTACTTTATAGTCTCAAAAATTTATATCTGATAGTAATGTGATATTATTTGACAATAATATGGATAAACTTTTACAAGATTTAGACATTAATATACATGTAATTAAATAATAATTATAATTGATGTATAATTTAAAATATATCATGTTAAAATAAAGTAAAATAATGAAATATTGATTAGTTTTTAATTATACAATTTTATTAATTTGGTAATTTTTTAAAAAACTTTTAATTTCATTGATTTAATTGATAAAATTTATTTTTGATAAAAATATATTAAATGTATTATTTTCTAAATTTAGCACTTAAGAATCGCTTGATATTTACTTTGTGTATTTCTATTTGGGCAAAAATAATACTTTAATTTATTAATTTTGTTTTTTATTTTAATTTTGTGTTCTAATTTTTAATTTATTTGTGTCCTTAATTTTGTATTTAACTTTAACTTTATCTTATTTATCAATTGTGGCAAATTCTTACCGCTAATAATTGTGATTTTAATTGTAGCACTGTTATTATCATAATAAATAAAAATGACTAAATTAAAACTAAATAAAGAGATAAAACATCAAAATAAAAATAAATAACTAGAAAAGTAATTATTTTGTGGCTCAAATTCATTATATTTATTTTCATATAAAAATGACTTTCTCATTAAATACATTTTTATGTATATTTTAATTATGTAAATATAATTTTTATATCATTTTACATTTATAAAAATTTTAATATCACAAAATAGTTTAATAACTTTCAAGTTATAATTATTTTTTCTACTTTCAATTGTCTATTTAAATTTCAACTAATTTATCAACTATTTTTGTCAAAATTAACCTCAGTCTCTAAAATTCAATCACTAATACTCGTGAAATATTACAAACAAAACATGCATGTACAAAATCAATGATAAAGAAAAGCAAAAAATTGGGCACTTCTTAACCCTTAAGAAATTATTTATACTTTTTTTTTATCAAGTCAATTTTTTTGTTGAACTTTCAAATTGATGACCGAACCTACAACCTGATTATGACAGACTCGATTCCTACATTAGTTCTCGATCATTTTAAAATCAATATCATATTACAAGTTTGAAGTTTACTTCCGTCGTTTTCATTTTTTAATTCTTAACTCTTTCCTTTGTTTTTATTAAGAGTAAGGCATCCTATCTATCTTTTCCATTCATTCAATTTTATTAAACAATTACAAGTTTTCCATTTTAGTAATTCAAGTATTTTAAGTCGACATCATTTTAAAATAAATTTTTGTAAAATTATGTTGTCATTTTTAAGGCTAAAAATGAAAAACGCTAAAAAAATCTTAATGTCGTTGGTTTGGGAGTTTAATGCGTAACAGGTAGACTGAAATGGTGATGGGATTCTTTGGTAACATAGGCACAGCAACTAGCTTACGAGGTTGCAATTGGCATGAAAATAATAACAATAATAATCAAATTATACGTGTTTTTTAATTTTTAATAAATTTAAATTAATAATTGAGAATTAGATAAAAACATATATGTTATTAACCTTTCATAATTATGTTTAGTGAGATATAAAATATCGGAAGAAAAGGAAATATACAAAATGAAAAAAAGGACAAATCTTTATCCTCATTTTTGTGTTACAAATTTATAAGAAACAGAAAATGAATGGTTATTTAAAATAAAAATGATTTGTAAGGATATAAATTTATTATCATACTCTTCTTTTTAAACAATGAATCCAAGTTTAAAATAAATAAATAACTTTTACTTTTTTCTGTTCCAAATTAAGAGAAATGACAAAAGCATGAAAGGAAAAATAGTAGAGGTATCAAAATTTTCCATTTTCCTCCCTTCTTTTAATTTTTTTTTTCAAATAACAGAAGTTATCTGTCTTCCTTCTTTCAGTTATTTCCTAAGCATTTCTTCAGGTGATATTAACTACCACTTAAGAATAATAATTAATGAATTAATAATTGTAAAAAAAATATTAAACATTATATTTTAAAGAATTGTTTATAATTCCTGAAGTAATACTGTATTCGTATTTTTTATAATAATAAAAAAAAGAGAATGAGAAATAGATCTTGGTAGCATATGATAATAATGATAAGATATATGAGTGTGAGATGGCACGTGCGATGAAGTGGCCAGGTGTAAGGTGGTGAAGGAGGGGCCGTTGGTGTTGAAACTCAACGTCACGTGGCCGTGGCCTTCCCCTTCTTCGCTCACCGTTAAAACGCGACCCTTCCCTTCTTCACTTTTCTCGTTTAGCTGTTCTCCCTTTTCAAAACCCTAATTCCTCTCTCTCTCTCTCTCTCTCTATATATATATATATATATATATATCTCTCTCTCTCTCACACACACACACAGAGGTTAGGTCACTCACTCCACCACTTCACCGTCTTATTCCTTTTCATTCTATAATTCGTAATTGTAATTCCTTTATTTTCATCGATCCATAGCCGAAGAAATATTGATATTGGTTTTGAATGAGTGCAGGTTGGGGTCGCCAAGGATTTTACTGATTCTTTTGCGGCGTTGGAAAATATTGGTAAAATTCGTGTACTTAAACAAAAAATAAAGAAAGGTTTTGTTCTTTAAAGTTGGAGGGTTGGGTCTGATGAGAATTGTTAGGGGAATGCAGAGATCGTTTTGCGAGGAGTTCTACGACAACTCTTTCACCCAAGGGATTGGAATCACTGCGCCAAAGGCAAGAACACGTGACAAACCCTTCATTTCCACGCTTTGAAATTCAAATTCAAACGAACTCTGTTCCGATTATTTTGGAGTTACGATGACGAGGGTATTGGTTCAGAGGGGCTCTTCTGGCGGTTCTTCGTCGAACGCGAGCCGGAGTTCTGCGGCGTCCTCGTCGTCTTCTTCTGCGCGGGTTGAGGTGCAGAGTGGGGAAGAGGTTGTCGGGGATGAGGTTTTGGAGAGTGGTGATAAGGGAAAGTGTGAGGATGTTTTTGAGCAGAGTGATGATGAAATGGCTGCTGTTGTTGAGAATGATGTTAGGGAGGAGATTGTGAGAGGGTTGAGTGGAATTAGAGCTTCTTCAGAAATTGAGGGTTCCAGTGTGGATCCTTCTTTAGTTCCAGCTAGTGGTGGTTCTTGCCCCCCACCGCCCCCTGTTCCGCCCCCTAAGCCTGCTGGAGCTAACTTGAATTCAAGGAGGAGTGTGTCGGGGAGTTCAAATTTTAATTCCGGTTCTGTAGGATCTTCGAGGAGAGGATCTGCGTGGCCTGTTGTCTCGGCTAGGACTTCGCCGGCTGGGTCGCGGCCATCTTCTCCCAGGTCTCTTAATGAAAGTGAGGGGTACAATAGTGCTGATGAACAGAAGCCCTGCTTTGTTTCATCTTATGATGATTTTGTAAGTTGATGATTGCACGTGGATTTCAATGTTGCTACTAGTCTTTGTTTATGATTCTTTTAGGCTGTAATGTGTGAGTTGGTTGATCCTAACTTCTAAGAAGAAACTAGCTAGGAATGTGTTAGATAATTTGGCCAATTCAAAAATGTTATGTATGTTAATTGAGCAACTATTTTTTTACTAGGTTTTTTTTTTCTTTTTAGAAAATAAACACATTATAATAATGTAATTAGTTTATTAAGTTACGCAGGGATTCAGGGAAAGTGTCTAGTTTGTATAAAACATTTGTCGTTATTGCCCATTCATACTTTACTTTTCTTAGTTGGAAACCCTATCTTGGATTGTATCTTTACACTTACTTAGGGATTTTATAATGTATTCTTTTACTGAGATCTTAATCTTGTCTCATCGTATATATTAAAAAATTGAACTGATAGTGACATCTATCTCAGGAAAGAGAGCGGCAGTTTGAAATTGATATCAGAAGGGCAAAAGGTTATGAAGTAAAAAAAATGACAGAAGATGGAAATTGTCTTTTCCGAGCTGTTGCAGATCAGGTGTATGGAGACTCTGACGCGTATGATGTGGTCAGACAGATGTGCATAGATTATATGGTATGATAATGATGTATTAATTTTGGCAAATATCCATAATGTATCTGCTTCAGTTTACACTGAAAGTATATTTTTAATTATCTTTTCTGATTATTCATTTTATCAGAAGCTATTTGTTTTCTGAAAGGAACTATTTAGTTCTCTTCATCGTTTGTATCATATTCACATTTTGCATATTTAGTTAAGCTCCAACCATTTATTTTGAAGGCTTTCAAAGTCTTAAAATATTGGACTTCAGGTTACTTGTTTTAGGACATAGAATTGTTGGTGGGTTATAGAAGGGTTTAAAGGTGCATGGAATTTAGTATGTGCCTTCTGGAATCTCTAAGGCAGTGAGAAATGATAAATTTAGGTTTTTCTAAGTCAATTAATGAAGAACTGCCGTATAGCTGTGTAAAAGTAACCTAGGCAATGGTAACATGAGTACTAGGGGAGAATATGTGATGAGGAAAGGCTAGACCCACAATTTTATGGAATATTCTAACGTAGTAAAAGCATCTGAATCTTGATCCAGTGAATGGATTCAAGAAACCTGTTATTTTCTTTTCCTTAATTTTTTTTTTTTGCCCATAGCTAACACATGTATATTTCCACACAGAACTTCCTTATATTATTGTTCCATGTCCTGTTTTCTTACTATCAGTTTGGTTGGACATTTTTATCTTGATATGCTTTAATAAAGTACGTTCATTCTCTCTAATTCAATTGAAAAATTGTGTCAATTTAAATTAACTCCTTAATATGGTATGACATTTGTTTTTTGTAAATATTTTGGTGGTTCATCAGTATTTTGTGAATTGTTTTAAGTTTCTACTTTTAGCTGCATGAAGGCACTGCCTAGATGTTTCTCATGCACATCCATTGGTCCTTTTTTGTTGAGTTTCAGAGGATTAAATATTTCTCATTTTATATCTTCAGGAGCGGGAGAGAGATCATTTTTCTCAGTTTATAACGGAAGGTTTCATGTCATACTGTAAGAGAAAAAGAAGAGATAAGGTATGTCAGTAAAGTGGCAGCTGTTGTTTCTTGGTTTGTGGAAAAACCAATAGTTGTTTGGCTTTTAGGTTTTTGTGCTTGGATATGATTGCTTTTTCTCTCCCTTTTTTATTTTCTATTCTTTGTGTGGACCTTGGCTTAGGATTAGGAACTGATCATTTTTTATTGTTTATACATTTTCAGCAAATTACTCCTATAACAGTTTAGATTGTTATATTATAAAAGCTGTATGTGAGTTGTGTGACTAATGTAATGTGTGGTAAAAAATGCTTGTATGCTTTAGTATTCCTATTAATCCATATGCCAGTTTTTCAATTGTCTCAACCCTTATACTCTTCTGTACCACATTGGTGTGAAGAGCCATCTATATTCTTTATCGTTAAATGGTTTTCTTTCTTCATTTTTCTCATCTAGTATCTACAATAAATATCTTTATTTAATTTTAATAGACTTAACCCCCTATATTAACCAATCATTGATTAGTTGCTAACTGTTAAGAGTTAACCACATTGGGTGGCTTGCAATACCAGTGGTAGAGTACCATTAGAGGAAATCTTTGTGATATTGCTATAAAATAATTTCCTCTGCCTCCCTTGACATAAATATGTCTGCAAGGTCTCTCAGTTGTGGTATGTCTCTCAAATAAATGTTTCACTGTTAAGAGTCATTTTTGAAGTTTGAACAAGCAAGTTATGCTGTAAGCAATCGAATCTAGTACTTAATACTTAGTGTGTTGAGACATCATCTCTATCTTTTAAATTGTGTCCAAAATTTTATTGCTTTATTTCGTAGATGTTTTTGCAAACCCTAATATAACTTTAGGCTTTCTAATTTTTTCTGCAATGTCAATAATGTGGGTGTGGTTGTGTCTTTTAAAGGAATTGGACATTAAAATTTACATCTGGACCTTCCCAGGTAATATTCTCCTTACTAAAGAATTTTTTTGAAGCCTCACTGACAAAAAAAAAAAAATGTCAATTGAATTACTGGGTTCTATCCATGGTGTTAAAATATGCTTAGCAGCTTGTAATTTTCTGGACTTATTCCTAGCTAGTATGTTTGTTCCTTGTAGAAATATTTTGTATATGAATGTACTTTGAAAAAGATTGAGCCCATTAATAGTTTGGTTGTTGTCTTTATTAGTATTTTCATTTGAAATAGTTCTTTTGACAATTCCCTTTGGTCTCTGTGCAATGTAATTGTATACTTTTTTTTGCCAAGAAATAATAGCTCTAAATAAATTTGTACACTTGTTGATTAAGAATAAAGCATAATATTACTCTCTCATACGAGTAAACTTTATGATGTTGACAATCATATTGCAATATTTGATTGATTTTTTGTTAGATATGGATGGATATATTAAAGGATGCATGGAAATAGTCTTTGTCATGCTTGGCACCTGAAATCTATATGACTACTACCTAAATCTTACACCACCCTAACCACCTGAGTGAAAGTGGTTTAAACATGGGTTGAGTGATAATGCTGCTGCCAGCACATTTATAAGATTTTTGTAAATTGAAATATGGGAAGATGAAATTGCAGTTATTGTTTATCCTCTGCATATAAAGCCCTCTCCCTGCTGATCTCAGATGTAAAGTCCATTCACCTCCACCATATTTCCTTTATATTCATTTTTAACATTTTTGTAAAAATGTTGTTTTAGTTGGTCAGAACGAGTTTATAGCTATTTTAACTGTTCAATTTAGGTGAAATATGTGTTCATTCTCCTTGGCAGGTCTATGGGAACAATGTTGAGATCCAAGCCATTTGTGAAATGTACAATCGTCCAATTCATATATACTCCTACAGTACAGGTGTAACTTCTGTCTGATATTTTGATGGCTGTGATTGTTAATGGGTTCAATAACATTAATTATTTATACAGAACCTATTAATAGCTTCCATGGAAGCTATACCACTGACACACCACCTATTCGACTGAGTTATCATCATGGGAATCATTACAACTCCCTTGTTGACCCACGACGCTTGACAATTGGTGCAGGACTTGGGTTCAGCTGTCTTCGTGGAGTGAGTACTGTGTCTATTATTGTTTAAGTTGCTGTTACTCTCTTGCTTTGCTATGTTTTTTATGTTCTATACCCTTATGAAAAATATCAACAATCTATTATGGAATAAATATTTATACAAAACCTCATAATGATTTGAGGAGACTCAAAGAAGTATGGGAGTTGTTTCGTTAATAAGTTGATTTGCTATTGCTAATGGTTGATGGTCCATTTGTGATTTATGATGCAGACTAATGTTGACACAGATCAAGTCAAGGCTGCTATTAAAGCTCAACAAGACCAACAGATCAATAATGCAAGTATTTTAAATTGTAATATAATAGCTAGAACAAGTTTATTTAACTTGATAATGATGACAAATTTTTTATCTTGCTTTCAACAGGCACTTTTAGCTGAGGGTCGGTTTTACTCTGATCTTGAGCTCACAGAGAAGGAAATTGAACGCATGGTGATGGAAGTTTCTCGAGCTGAGTATCTTGCAGATGGTGATAGTGCATTTAAGCAACAGCTTGGTGACAGGGAGTCCTCTACCTCAAATGCTGAACCATCATCTTCTGGTGCACGTGAGTATCTCACTCCCATACAAGTTGGTCTATTTTCTTATAAAATAGTTTATTACATCTCAAGGTTTAAGGAGTCTTAAACCTGAAGATGTGAAATTGAATAAAGCCTTATCATTTTGAGTTTTTCCTTCCTTCTAACCTTCTATGTTCACCCTTTTAATTTAGAACAAATGCGTAGCTGCTTACTTTCATAATTTGAAATATATTGCTAAAACTATTGATGAGAACAGCAGGATCATCCGGCACTGATGGCAATATGGAACATGGAAAAGAGCACGGTGCTGATCTCAGTAGCGGTATGCGGATGCTACTATCAATGGGATTTAGTTACATCCAAGCTGTTGAGGCTTACAGCATATTTGGGGATGATGTTGATTCTATGGTTTGTTACCTGTTAGATAGTGGCAGTAGCAGCAGACTTAAAGGCAAGGCCACTGAATGATAGGCTATCGACTTAAATAAATACCTTAGAGCTTTAGTTTTCAAATTGCAATCAAATCAGTTAAATAAATACCTTGTATCAAGCTATTACTCTCTAGTTTAATTTGGAATCTGGCATATTAATGACGGCCATTGGTAGAAAAAACTGAGCAACAATTTTATCTGTCTAATGATAGCAGGACCTAGAGCCGGGCCCCTTTTTTTCCAACAATTTTTTTTTTTTATAATTTGTGACTTGCTAGAGCTTAGGAGATTCATAATGCCTATTTTATCTTATTTTGAAGAGATTTTTTTTTTAATTTTAGCTATTTTTTAAAAATAATCACTTGTTGAACATGCGCATGACGGGGAGTTGATTCTCACAATTTCTACTAATTTTAATTTAACTTTTAGCGGAGAATTATTAAGAGCGTGTTTGATTCACATTTTATTATGATTAATTTGAAAATTTGGGACTAGGTCTAGTGTTTGAAAATTATACTTAGTACTGAGTTTAGAAGAATTGGTTTTATTTGAATGACCAAGTAGAGTTTTAAGGTGTAAATATAAATGTTGCAATTTCACATTTAGAATCAATTTACAATAATAAAAAATTGCCAAATATACTTTATCACAGGAATAGATTTTCACCGTCACTGTAATATTAAAATAATCTATGAAAATGCTTGCATTCACACCTGTTGCAAATTAAACATCATTCCCTTGAAAAAATGAATTTTCATCTCATCACGACTTAAGTTAGGCTATGCTTGCCAAAATTAACTCGTAATTTTAGTCTCAAAATACACTTTTCCTTAGGCTATGCTTGCCAAAATTAACTCATAATTTTAGTCTCAAAATACACTTTTCCTATTCATAGTCTACCGCAACTTTCTCTCTATGCATGGTTACTAATCAATAACAATAGTAATAGCGAGTACTAACACCTGCATTTTGTTTAATAATAGCATAGATAAATAGGTTTAAATATGGTCGATTTCATTTTCAAAACAACTTCCTTTTTTCGGCACTTAATTAAATTTCACTTTTAATAGTTACCTTAGTCATCGCGGCACAAGCTGAGTCCGCAGGATCCGAGCAAAATAATTTATTTAAATAGGCATTGACATAATTAAGCAGCAAAATTATATTCTATTAACCAAATCGGTCCTTTATTGAGCAAAAACCAAGTAACAAGTGATAAGCCGTGTGTTCACAGCGCATGCATAGTAACATCATTCTTTCCTCTACAAAAGCGTGCCAAATTAGACGGGCAAAGATATATCAAAATTTTGGCATCATTAATTTAGCACAGCCAAAATAAAACATCGTGCTGTTTTTAACCACTAAAGCAACCAACTTAACAAATGACCAATGAAATCCGCTAGAGCTTTTCATTAGAAACTTCCATCCTAAGATACTATTTGATTTTAATAAAACTTCAGAACTAACTAGGCAAAATCTCATACCAAAATTCTGCCAGCCACTATGCAGTTTTCACTTTTCGAGAGGGAGGCCGTCGAAATAGGCTGATTAGATCATCAAGACCCTGTCAAACAGCGGTAACTAAGATTGAGTGCACAAGCAGGATATCTAAAGTTTTGCAAATGACGTTTTAGATAATAAATAGATACCTTTGTTGTGATGACCAAGAAACTGAAGAGCACAATCAAATACGATCCCACTACTAGAAGCAGCAGCAAATCAAATGTGACACTGGCAACCTGTAAAACCATAAAACAATTACTTTCGAGGCAAATAGATGGACTACATTAAATTAGGAAGCCAAAAATAAAAATACTGAAGCATGTTCGGATTAACTTATTTTGGGGCCTTAAAAAGCTATTTTGTACAGCTCCCAAGAAAAGATACTGACTTTGTTTGAAACAAACTTGCATTTATTTGAAAATCAATACAGACTCTGTTTTTTGTGAAAATTCCCTCTTTCTTAATCAGGAAAAGATGCCCTTTGAAAAAATACAACGGAAAACCGGTCACGTCAGTCAAATAACTAGAAAATTGTTTTATCCAAAAGAAATTGAAAAATACTAAATTACAAAAACAGTCTGGATTGAAGACCGTCAAAGCAATCAAAGATCCATTAAGTTGACTCAGCCACTCAAAATTACTAAACTTTGCTTACATAACAAGATGCAAAGAAAATAACTCCAAATACCTGATATATATTCAGGTTTGCCCTAGTTGAATCATAGAAAGTGAACATCCCATCCAGCACTTCTCGTTGCAGATTTACCTCATCAGTATGATCCTCTAATTCCTGCATGCATGTAGAATACTTGAGTAAGTACACGAGAGTGAAACTCCAGGTATCATGAGAATTGAGGAGTGAGCACCCTCAAGTCCTCAACCATGACAAAAGGAACATTACACACAATATTGGCACGTAGAACATAACCCAGAGCACATATAATCCCTTATGAAGCAATAAAACCAAACTGTAGTCATTCTAATATTGCTTCAAACATTCCCTCGGCTGATCCACCACCATAACAATCCTATTGGGGGTAATCCTTTAACTTCAAAAAAAAAAAAAAAAACTATGATAAAATCTAAACATTACAATGATCCAGCATACAGTAATACCTTTTTCAGTGCCATGACAAAAGGATCATCTTTTGAGAAAAATGGAGCTACACGAGGTGTTTGGGACAAAACATCTAACCATGATCGAATATAAGAAGGATTTACAGCCAAGTTACTGTTGTCCGCAAAGATCTGGATGTTCTTTCCTTGATGTCCATAAATATGCCTCTGCAGAAAGTAAATCAGAAGTGTTTAAAGTAAGTTGGTTTTGCACAAAAAGTATATAAAGTCAATGCTACATGTCACATCAAAAGACACTGGACATTCAATATTATCTCTAAAATAATTTTACTTTCTCAGCAATTATTTGAAAACAAGTACATAACAGTTCATGGACATCTATTCAACCATCTTACTAATGCCTCACCAATTAAGCCAATTTCCAATAATCAACAAGAAATAGGATCGCATAAAATCAAGGATTATCTCCATTGATGCATACCCCAAAATGTCAATGACAAGGACACTTCAAATTAGAAGTCTTTTTGTGATATTAAACACCATTAACCATACCGACAACTATGCCATTGTTGCAATTCCCATAATTAAGTCAAGTCAGATACCAATATTAAAAAGGTAAATTCTACAGTACCCTGGGTAAGTAAGAGGGTTTGATACCTTATCTTACATGTGGAACAATCCTAACCGTTAATTTTATATGGATAGATAATGGAGTTAGCAGTTTAGTTTAAAAAGACGTTAATACCCTCTCATCTTTAAAATATTAAAGGAATTACAATCGTTAATTTAAAGAAGGTATAAAATACCCTCTCATCTTTAAAATATTAAAGGAATTACAATCGTTAATTTAAAGAGAGTATAAAATACTCTCTCATCTTTAAAATATTAAAGGAATTACAACCGTTAATTTAAAGAGAGTATAAAATACTCTCTCAAGTTTATGAGTACCACAACAAGCACCTATTAAAATTGTGAACACCAAGCTATTACTTAAAAAGATGGATAGTGGAAGACAAGGTGGAACACATGAATCCAATATGTAAGGAGAAAGGAAGTAAAATCCATGCCATGAATTTGTGTAAGTTTGAAAGAATCAGAATACAGAGTGGAAACTTTGCAAATTCAAGTTGTCATTTCACTGAAATCTCATCAACAACCTTTACTGCATAATAAACAGCAACATTATGATTCAGTATTATCCATAAGAGATGCTATACAAGCATTAACAATTAACTAAAATTTAGCTTGATTCAAGGGTGTTTGTTGGATAAGACAGCACAGATACATCCAAGAGATAAACAAGCCAACTCATTCTGGCTACCATTTGGTCAAAAACAAATTCTGGCTTAACAACATTTTCTCAATCATAATGGAGCAAACTAATGCCACCATTTCTGCAGTTAAAAGTCCATATTAGAAAGAAACATCAGAAAAGCTCATACCTCGTAGTTCATATATCAAAAAGTATCTACCAAACAATCTCAGATTAAATATGATACACAAAAAGATTAGTTTTGTCAGTACTAGAGAAATGTAAATGAGACACCCAGTTTTACCCGTTTTATTTTAATTATTTATTTGAATTAAGACTTTATGTTATTTTCAATAACACTTCCAAATAAATAATCATAATCACAATAATGATAAAATCTAGAAGTCACATTTTATAACAAGCTAATACCACTTATTCACATTATATCCTACCCCATTTCTGTGTTTGTTGATTTGTGTCATACAAAATATTATGGGGAACCCAACAATGGCCCTGAGGAACCCAATAAGCACTGCACTACTTTTGAAAAGGGGATTGGACTTATAGTCATGACAACAAAATGATCTATTTTCAAGGTTTACCTCTTATCGCATGACTAACTAACAGCTTCTGTATAATTTGCTTATACAGTATGCAGGGTTTTTCATTATGAAGATATCCTTCCCACCGAACATAGCACTCGGCTACATCAGCAGAGTGTAAAAATTGTAGCTTGCTTAATTATTAGTAGTTCGTTAGCAAAAACATTAGTTTGTACTATAAATAAGATTATGTGTGTGAAATCCTACCAACTATTTTATATAAATTTTGTAAACTCTAGATGTATAAACTAACAAATGAGATAATGTGAATAAGCAGTACTTGTTTTAAAATGTGACATCTAGTTCTAATCATCACTGTGATTAATTTTACGTGGAAATCTTATTGAAAATAACACAGTCCTAACTTAAATAAATAATTAAAATAAAATAGTAAGGTAAAACTAGGCGTCTCATTTAAGTAATCTTATTTGTAGTGTTAATTTCTACTTTTTGAGGTAAAATTAGTCTTACCGCAAGACTCTCAGCAATTAATTTCACACTTCTGACAATGGCAGCTTCATTGACAAATTGCCTGCAGAATGAAGCTCTCAGCAAAAAGGTACAGAAATAGTAAAATTTAAGCATTTAGGTCCAAAGATGAACCTGCTGTCAACCAAACCACCAGTTCGTTCTAATAATTCAGGTGCCATAGAAAGTTCAGATAGAGTGGCAGCAGTAACTCTCAGCCTTGAAAATTGTTCATGCTCCCAAGCTACCTACATCAGATGACTATCTTTAATAACTATTAGAAGTAGCATTTAGACAAAATTCAGTGAGTGAATGTTTGGTATTAGGAAATATTTCAATAACATATGAAGCACAAGCTTATATGACTAGACGCAAGAAGTGGAAATCAATAGGCAGCTGTATATTTAAGTCATTAAAATATGTCTTTCAAGAACTAAGTCTGAAGGATCTTATGAATGAAGAAACAAAGAGAAGAAATAAAAGCGGATGATTTAGGCATCAGATTAAAATGAAAAATTAGAACAGATACATCAAAGTTATCAAACATTTTTCTCATAAAGATGTACACTGTCCGTTCATGTAATAAAATAATGGGAAAAGGGTGTCAATTGTCTAAAAATACAACCATGTTGACATTGAGCAAAAGCTAAGTATAAACTGCTAAAGAGCTATGCAAGCAAAACAGAACAGTGAGAATTTATCACTTACTCGAGGATTTGAAATGTTTATTTTCTTATGCTTCAGATTCACTGTAAAGCCTAATTCTTCTGCAACACTTGAAAAATCCTACACCAATATTCGTTGTTAAAAGTGATGAAGATAAAACTGCAAGTCCGCCCATTTTAGTAAAGAGACAATTCACTTACATCCAGAATTTTCTTAATATAGGCATTTTCTGGAGGCTTAGACACATGAATCCACAATTCATTTTCCCAGGAACCAATACTATCTAAGCAAATAGCATAGTCAATGCTCTCACGCAGACGTTGGTCAAAGCTCCAAAGCCACTGGAAAATGCAGAATTAAATGTAACAAGCCATAACAAATAGGGAGGGCCAATTATGTGTTACAGATCCATCTGCAAATAAATGAACTTCCATGCAGGATATATCACCTTACGGGTTCCATTGTAGTTGTAAGGCCCACCAGAAGTGAGCCCAAACAGCAGATTGTATTGTCCTCTCGTCTTTGGATTAGAATATAATAGAGAAAATAACCTAGCTACTTCAAGAAGAGCCACAATGCCACTTCCATTGCTATCGCTTCCTGCTGATAATGCCTGCAATTACAGATGTTTTAACATAACCATACATTTCACAAAGTTTGGTTTTATAGGAGGAATTTATAAGTAACATACAGGAGCAGCCCCAAAAGTGTCATATGATGCCACTATCACAATTGTGGGTAATTGATGAGCATCATCATCTGTCTTCAGTCCTGCCAACCATCCCTGCAGCCATATAAAAGATACATCCAATGTCCACACAAGGTCTATTCAAAGCCCATCAATTTTAAAGACTTGTGAGATTGAAGCTAGATTGTAAATATTTTGTGTAATATGCATATGAAGGAGTGAAATCATGTGTGCATTGATAACCATGATGTGTGCAGAACATATCTTCAACTGTTTTATTTCATCAAGCTGCATTTTTCCACACCTAAAATCTCAGCAACTTACACAAACTTTAGAAGATGATGACAAGAAAGAAAACAGGCATTTAAGCAACTAAAAAAAAAAACGTAGGACTAAAATGAAGAAAGTAAGTGCACTAGGAACAAAGAAAAGATCAAGAGGATAAAACATTAAAAATGGAAAAATAGAGCAATGCAAGGGAAATTAATATGTAGGTAAGGAACTGAGGACTTCATAATCATATAGTTGATCATCAAACATGTTACTGTGCAGATAAATGCTATTTTGAATTTTTATAAACAGAATAAATAATTTATAATATATACATATAAATGCTCAAAAATTAAAAAAGAATAAAAAAAAATAATCAAAATTCATGACATTCATAATTAATAGTAAAATGACATAGGTCTTAAGCAAAATATACAAGTAAATAACCACAAAAGTTAAGGAAAAAAGCAAAATTCAAAAGACATTCATATTTCAAATGCAAGACATCTTAAGCATTCATTAAAAAGTGAGGGTTGGGAGTCGCACAAAGAAAAGAATAGAGGTTGAGGGTTCAAGGTTCAAAATACAGGTGATTCAGAGTTCAAAATGGAGAAAAGAATGGAGGGTGAGTGTCGCAGAAATACTGCAACAGATGGGTGGGTGTTGGTAGCACCAAATAGAGAGAAGGGTGAGGGGGTGTTAGTTAAAAAATGGAGTTGCACAATAGATAGAAACGTGGGAAACTACATCCAATTAGGGATTTCATTCTGAAAAGGGGGAAGAAAAAGTCAACTTTGCCCTAAAAACAACAGCCTGAAATGATGCTATTTTGAGGGAGTGTGGTTTCCTTTCTAAACCGTCATTGTAGCACTGCTACAGCTGCTATTTTAGCTGTCATTGTGGCCACTATTCAAAAGCACTCTGCAATTAAAATTTTGTAGCGGACCATGCCTGCTTTGCACTGCTATTCTGCAATACCGCACTATTGATAACTATGCCAAAACATTATAAATGATACCTTATAAAAACAACCAGAGGGAGCCAAACTGTGGTATTTCATAAGTAAGTCTTACATTACATTAGTATTTGTAGAATTTAAACACAAAAACACAACAGAAAAAGAGAAAAAGAAACAAATTTATGGCATATATTCATACAACAATATAAGCTTTATTTAGCAATTAAACTACGTTGTATTTCTATAAAACGAAGGCTTAACAAACACCTGAATATTTGTAATGGGTGGAGATACAAGTTTCTTGGGTTCAGGAGCTGAAACAACAAATTTGTATCTGCAACATCACAGAAAAAGAGAAAAAAAAATTGTTTAGAATCTCATTTCCAAAAGAAAAATACACTTGGAAATACAATAGCACAACATACATGCAAATTAATTTACTACAGAAAGAAAATCCAAGAAAGAAGATATAAAAGATAAGATAAGAAAAATAACAACTGTGAAATCAGTAGATAATTGAAACATTACCCAAACAAATACATTAAAAGGTATTTGATAACACATGATCTAATACCCAGAAGTTGGAAATATACAGGGCAATTCAGTGTGTAAGTTCTAAAGAATCAAAACCATAACATCACTCATTTTGAGCATCTAGAGAAATTGCAAAATTTAGTTAAAGCAAAGAAATCCTTATTCACAGAACTGAACTCACCCGCCAGTTGTAGCAGTAGCAGGTTGACCAGTGGCATCATTCTTTTTTATGTCAGTTAACACAGCATCAATGTTGTCGTCCTCAAAAGCAAAATAAACAGGATACTGCAACAAGATGCAGCACTATAAACATTACACTTCAATCTAAACAATAAAATTATAATGATAGGGACTTATTCACATTAGATGGAAAAAGATGTCATGTCATGCATTCGAGAGCAAAAAGTATCTTTTTCTTTTTTTCATTGACAAATTTGAAAAACATTAATTTATGGAAGAGTATTGAAAATCATAGGAGTGCCTTTTATTTCTCTCACACACATGAAAGAAAGAGAGAGAACAGCATACTGATATAGGAATTCTAGATATTTGAGAAACCAATTCAATAGTTTATTACTGATAACTGCTTCAGCTATGAGACATAGAGTGACTAATAGTCCATGCCATAAACTAGAGAAACTGTACTAGAGTACAAAACCTTGGATGGAAAATAGAAATTAAGGAAAAGTTTCCAATTTCGAACATAGCTCGCACTAACCAATCAGTCAAGGACCAAATATGCATGCAAACTGCAAACGCACAATACCAATGGGAGAAGCATAGCCATAGTGAAAGATATCAAAAGCAGGTTTATAAATCATCTAGCACAACTTATATGATAAGTAAATAAATAAATGCTGAAAGTGACTGTGCAAGGTCTGTGGACCACCACTGCATGCACACAATGACATTTGTAAGTCAAACAAGTTACACATGCACATGAAGAGGCTGTCCAAGTCTTCAGTCATCACCAGATTGTTAGGGCACTAACGGCCAATTTTCCTTCATAAGAAAAACACTGAACGATAGAAAGCAATATGTTTGTTTATAAAATCACTCGGGTGTTTGGAGACTACAGCTTAGTTGATCAACACAATACAATGCATAAACTACTTCAAAGATTACTTAAGAATGTAATATTGAAAATAATAATAATAATAATAACCACAATAATAATATAAAGGAATTCATAATTCATGAACAAATAAATCAACTATTGCTTCTGATGGCAAGCGTTTTATTTAATATGAAATTCCAAAAGAAAAAATTAGAAACAATCAGGATATAGAAGTTGTTTGAAATTTACTCACAGGTAAGTTGGTATGTATAAGTACTTGTTCAAGTTCAGCCAATGTATCCTTCAGCAGTTCTTTACTCCCATCTTCAAGATTACTTCCCATACCACCTTTGTTTTCAAAACTGAACATCCGTGGCAGCAAAAATATTAAACCCCCAAGAGGTTTGCTTTCAGCAATATATTCTGCCATATCGCAGTCACACAATTTTTCCTTGTTACATTCGTAAGTGTGAGACAAAATGACATCTTCAAACAATGATCAATATAAATGACAGGGACAAAAAATGTCAAGCATTCAATAAGTATAGTAAACAGTACAATCCATAAATAACCTTTAAAGCTTTGACTAAAATGGATAATATTTGGTTGGTCAGTTGGTGCAATAAAATTGTCAATTTTATAAACGCACCAGTATATAATATTACCCGCTTGCCTAGTCAACAAGACCCTCTTCAAACCTGATGCCTACAACATATATGTTCTAATTTGGTTTTAGTTCTTACAGGTATGCATATGAATTACTTCAAGTCACACTATAGTAGGTTAGTCATCTTAATATTTCTGACTCTCACTCTCACTAGCACTTTTCTCATCACAAGTAACATTCCTCCTTTGTATGCATCTCAGACAAGAGTATAACTATATATAGATTCTGTTAAATATTAAATGATGAATTGGACTAAGAATTACGCAAATCCATCTTTTTCATACGCACATGGAAAAAGTTAAAAATCAAAATTAACAACTACGAAAAAGAAAAATAGTATTGAAGCAAAGAAATCGACACGGATAATCTGCAGTAAAACTCCAGCCGTTTCGAAAACATCATTCGTAACTAGCGTAATCTCGACCTACGTTACAAACTCACACATCAACATCACGAGCACAACTAGCTCTCACTCAGCACAATCAACCAAAAACATAAAACTAAAAACCTAAAATTAAAATAACAAAAAAAAAATGGAGAAGAACCTTTGACAAAGGACAAGTTAAGTTCGCGAAGAGGTATGAGGAGGACGGTGCGAGAGAGATCGGCGTGAGGCGAGAAGTGAAGAGAAGCGGCGTGGTGGTTGAGACTAGCTAGTCGAGATCCGAAGGGAACGCCGGACATGTCGTACTGGATGAGGCGGTAGACGTCGACGACGGTGGCGCCGTCGCAGAGGTCGACGCAAGCGACGAGGATGAAGACGAGAGCGATGACGGAGTCGAATAGCATTTCACGGTCGCGAGGTTTCCTTGGCGCCATAACAACGGAGGTGAGATCAGGTCTGCTAGGGTTTCCGAATTTGCGATTGACAAGTGGATAGAACACGACGATGCCGATTTACTCTTAAATATGTCTCTGTCTATCAATATAATATTTAATTGTTCAATTTTGATTTAGCTGAACTTAGGTGCAAAAGTTTCAAGAGAGAGTGACGCTGAGAATGCAAAAGGGAGAAACCAGAATCAGTACACTAGCAAATATCGATCATCATACACTACAGTCATACACTATACTGAGTAGCAGTGGATTTTCTTTTTCTTCTTTTTTGTTATTTTAAGATTTTCTTTTTTAAAAAAAAATATTTTTCTATTTTCCTTCTGTTGAGTCTCCTGGAAACTTGGGGAAAAAAACTTACAACCACAAAAACATTTTTCAAATGCTCATATCTTTGGGATAGACAATCTCGGACGTTCAAATTAAATTTCATTTAAGTTGTATATTTTGTGAAAATTGTGATTAAGTTGTGTTGGAGTACTATTTTGAGTTATACATATGATTAGAGTGCATGTAAAAAAATCAAAATAATAGTTTCTTTTTTAATTAGAGGTATCGTTCACTTTCCAAAATTCAAATTTAAAATTAATAGTTAAGTTAAAACAACTTTTGATTCACACATTTCATAATAATTTACACGTTATAAATGTAAATTAATGTTCCACTGCAAATGTACTGCTGAAAGGGAGCGGTAAACATATTAGACCAATCTGTTAAAAATTTTATTTATAATTTTCTGATTTGTGGAACCAAAAAATATTTATAATTTTAAAAAATGGGATTATGTGATTTTATGATTATTAATTAAATAATTTTAATAGAACAAAAAATTTAAATATTATTCTCTAAGTATATAAATTAGATTAAAAGAAAACTCCTACACAACTTTTTGCAATAATGAGGACTAAATTAACTTCGAAAATCATCTCACGTGTATGGGCCACACACAACTTAAAAGAGAAAACTCCATTCAGCTTAATCATTTATCTACTGCTTTATTTCAAACTTGCAATCCTAAATTGACATCATCGACATTGTTTGCAAAAGACTTGGTGATTAAGTGTGCACAGATTAGAAGGAAAAAAATTATAGCATGAGTGTCTATTTCCCCAAATATGACACTCCCTTTATGTTATGTGCCTGGGTTGATTAATCAAATGTCGCTATTTGCATGTGTATACTCATTGATTTGTATTATAAAGAGAAATAGTAAACCTTCGATTTTGACGATGAAAAAGGAAAGAGTGAGGGAAGAGAAAGGACTAGTGTTGACTGAGGAGAGATGAAACCTGAGGGAAATATAGGGATTAACTAATAAGTACCATTTTCATAATTAATTAACCTGATTGCTAGCTAACATCTCCATGGTTCGGCCATGTCATCAATGTCCTCGACCCATTTTCATGTGATAGCCATTGGCCTATTGCCACGATTAAACAAAATATTTTGCAATGACCAATATATATATATATATATATATATATAGTACTAGTATAAAAATTTCGGCCCACTTCATTGAATGAGTTATCATTATTATCGAACTAACAATAAGTGGCCTTAAATGTATATAACAAAACGCAAGCAAAACAACTAGATATCAATGTACCTACATCTCAGTACAACATTATAGTAGACGCATATAGGAAGAAACGTTAACAATGACTTTTTATCATTTCAATTTATATTGTCTTCTTTTAACACCTTTGTCATTGTTTAAGGTACAAAGACAGTAGGTGAAGTGGAGGTTGTACATTCATTTATGTCACATTTTGAATTCAGAGAAATGCTAACAACAAACTTTCTAACATATAATTTTTACCAAATGCTTTAAAAAATATGTTACTAGCATTCTTCCATAACTGAAATGACAATAAATGTAGTGCTTTGCAGGGAGGAGTGTACTCTGCTGAGCACAGCAAAATAAAAATTTCAGTCACTTGAACCATCTTCCTTTTCAGGAAACACAAGCTGTAAATCTTCATTGTCTCTATAAACTTGCACTAGAACAGCAGCCTTGTACACAAACATCCCAAACATAGCTGGCACAATCTAGGGTGAATAAGAGACAATAATATAAATGATCAATGTGTTTGAAGAGAATTGAATAGTAAGGCTTTGTGGCCAAGAGAACCTTTTATTGATATGCGTGCTTTCAAGGTTTACCTGAAAATCAAAGAAGTCATTGGCAAAATATTGATGAGATAAAACCCAAAGCCCGAAAATTGATGCTGGAATCACAAGCCTTGGAGATGAAAGTGATATACTGATACCCTTGATTGACCTCTCCAATAAATCTTCAAGGTCCTCACTTCTTATACCAATTCTGGTTAAAAAATATTGTTTCATCAAGACAAGAGATAAGAGAATGTCAACAGCAGAGAATGCTGTCTAGTATGATTAGATCAAATTCAAAGCAGAAGTTTTCATTTTACTTCTTTGACTTCTTTTTCATGAATATTTGAGGAACCGTTTCACTGGATAAGTTGTCTGCATGTTTATATAAGAGCTGGAGGTACAAGCAACTGCATTGAAAATGATATATCAGTTAAGTACCATGTTTTATTCTTTCTTTCAACCCATGAGGAGCAACAGATTGAACCATATATCAACTAGAAGTAGAAGACTCCAATCTGGTGAAGCATTTACAGTGTCACACATGGCCCTTAATCTCGTTAACAAATAACTAAATAAGACAGTATCCACGTAATAAAAAGCAACAAACCTGAAAAGGACTCCAATCGCATAACTTATAGCAGCCTGCACATATAAGATATAGGCACACATATCAGTTAACACACACACTCTCAGTTTTCTTTTTTTTTTTTTGATAGCATCAGAAAACAGCATGATCTTGTAACCACCCCCCAATAAATAAACAAAATAAATTAAGAAAACAACATGCTGCAAACTGTTGATGAAGTAAGTATATTGAAACTTACACCATGGTAGTTTTGAGGTTAAATCATTATCGTAAGACATTGCATCCATCTAAAGTTAGTCTTCTCATGAAAGAAGAGAACGTAATATAGTGGAAAGAAGCAGTAATAACAAGTTGATGAGACATTTGTCTTCTTGAAACAGAGCATGCAAACGTAAAGTTTACCTGTAACGACAAAGTTATCAAGCAATATCCACTGCAAGCCAATCCAACACCCAGAGATAGAAGCAGTATTTCCCTCTTGAGCTACAATTCAAAATAGGAATGATAGAATTAGCAGCTTACTCGGCATCTGAACAATTATAATTGATCAAATTTCAAGCCTTAAGGTAAGAAAACACGAATGTCACTGACATGAGCTAACAAAGACCAATACTGAGGTGAAGAGAGGTATCATACAGATTCATAATTGAGCATGTTCAGTTTCTTGCGTCTTGCACTGAGGTCTTGCAACACCTGTTGATATATGAAGTGAAGCACCAAAGCCATTGGACGATTTGACTTATTATTTATTTACCACAGAAAGAAAGTGAATTTGAAAAACATTTGACAAAACAAAATATGCATTCAAACATATCAGCGTCTGTTTGTATATACCGAAGACTCAAATCTATCCAAAGCAAAAAATAATTGCCATCATTCAACATGCATTGGATTCTGCAATTACAATATCATGATCCTCTATTTTAAATTAAAAATTGATTACATGGATGCTACGTAAAACCAAACAAGCCCTCAATTTCATATCCATTCCCCACTTTCTGTCAAGGGATAATGATATAAATGAAACTGAATGTTGGGATCTGAAATGGCAAAAACTCTAAAGCATACCTTAGCACTCGCCTTCTTGTTTATTGGTGCAGAATTGTCACCTAATATCCACTCTTGGGTTCTTGAAAGTTTCAAAAAACCATCATCACTGTCAATCTCAATGATCTACAAATATTAGAAGAATCACATGAAATTGAAATGCATGATCAATGAAACCATACAAAAAATGTTCAATGGATCAGTGCAAGGCAAAGAATTTCCAAAACGCTTGATAGAATATATAAAACTGGATCAAAATGGTTTGAAATCAGATACAATGAATATGCTGCACCTGCTCTGTTTGTTGAGAGGTGTTGTTGTTGAGCTTGCTAGCATCATAATCACCAGAACTTCTGAAATTCCTTTGCCATAATAAATCAGAAGCTCTGGATATAAAATCCCCATTTAATTCTCTCTCCTTAAAAAATATTTGCAAGACTTCCTCATCTGCATCACTCACTAAAAATTAAGAGTTCAACCAGTTAGCTCTCTGCACAAATAAGGACAATAAGTGACAAGAAAAAGAAAATACTGGGTAACTATTACAAATGGTTTTTTATATCTAATAGTATATCGATGAAAAATTGAAACTCTGTTGCTAAATCTACAAACTAACAAAAACATATTTTAACAGAATCATAGTCGGCATAACAAATAAAAGAGAACTAAAATGAATAACAATAAGAAAGATAAGAAAGGAGGCCAATAAATTTGCTGACAAATCACAGAAAATTGTTTTCATGCACCCTCAAATTTATTTATTTTTACTTTTGAATCAGATATATACTCAAATTGAAATTGAATATATCAACAAACTACACATCCCAGAAAACTAACACTTCAAATTGCTATTCTTTCTAACCAATTCTCTTGCTATCCAAACTCTATAAAAGACACATACTCCGAAGAGATAATGATTTTAGTCAACCTTATACCTAGTTATCAAAATATCATGCAACGAAAATTTCGGATTTCTTTATAAATAATCTAAGTGCGACATTGTTTTTTCAAAGTATTTCCAAACAAAGTATTCGGTTGAAAACCACTGAGGAGCTAGCCACCATGGATTGGTTTAAAAAAAACCAAAATTTCCAATTTTGCGTGTGTGTGTGTATACATATTAGAACTTACAATACAACCATCGAATCATGGCTGTGCATAATTTCCATTCTGGGCTTGATACAGCATCTTCAATTGTCTACTACCCATTTCCCCAAACCCCTTCCCCACTCAAAAAAATGCCAACTTTTTCAGTAAAGGGATCTGAAAAGTAATGAAACGAGTCCAATTGCAATCAAAGAAACAGAGGGGCTAACCTGAAGGAGGACCAGCTCTTGGTACTGAAACCAGGGTAGTGTTTGGGTAAAAAGCACTTGGGAAACGAGATAATGCAGAAATCTTTGGGAACTGAAGGCTGTAACAAGTGGGGAGGAATCTAATCCTTGAAAGGGTATCCATGGCATAGATGGAATGCAACACTCACATACAAGCTACCTTACCCGCACCTCCTCCTTTGGAACAAAATAGTTTATAGTCAAAATGTACCAAAATTAAATCATTATTATGATTTTGGGTTACAAATTTTATGTATATTTACCGATTTGGTCCTTATTTTTAGTCTTTTAATCGTAGCAATCAAGGATTAAATATAATCACTAGTTTAAACTGAGTGACAGATTTAAGTGATATATACGAGGTAAAATCTGATAATTTCTATTATGACACTTAGTTTGGTAATTTATACTATTACATTTGTTTCTTTAAATTTTATGTAATGTGTTATCATAAGAGTACGCTTTATTTTAAAATGTTATTCTTTTTCACATGTTGAATCGTAATAGTTCACTTATTTAAATAATTAGCTTACAATTAATACTCTAAATTTTATGTCTTTAACTAAAATATAATTTCAATGCATTAATTGACATGTCTTGTATGCTTAATCTAACTTATTTTAGAGTAATGAATTTTTTTAAAAATAGAAACTTTTAAAAAATTCATTTCTTAATTGAAAGTTCTTCCCAAACATGTGTTTTGTTAGTATTTTTTTATTTTATAAATTTATTTTTTCTTTGATTTTTAAAGTGTGCTTTGATTTTTTTTTAAATTATAAAATTTATATTTTTATTATAAATTTTTATAAATCAAGTTAAATTTTTTTAAAATACTTTATATTATCATTAAACACGTGAATCAATTATGAAGAATTATTGTAATTTAATATGTGTTTTCAAATTTTAAATTTCAATTATACAACTTTGTCTTGAAAAAATATATTTTTTTACTAATAAAATTGACCAATTAAAACATTAAATTTTACTTAAAAGATCTCATTAATTTTTTTCAAACTAAAAACTCACATCCTGCTAAATTCTTTAATTTTGAACAAAATTACACTAAAATTCTAATTTTTAAACTTTTGAATTTACTTTGTATTTTAAATTCATCATAACCCCTCCCCTCCTCACACACAAATATTTGGATAAAAATAACAGTAATTTAAAAAAATTCAGGTAAAATTACATAATGAAACTAAAATTTCTTAATTTTAAAAAATTAATTAGTTTTAAAAAATTAGAGAACTAAATTGTACACCATTCAAGTTAAAAATAAATAAAATGAAAGTCTATTTTGAAACTAACAAAGTCTATTTTAAAATAAGGCAAAATTAAATTTAAAATCAAACGTGAGTATATCTTCTATTTGTTTAGAGCCTAATTGCTTATTAATGGAAATGTCCTTTCAATTAAAGCATAAGAAAAACATATTTTACGAAGTGTCCTTTAAAATGTGATTATTTAATGTTAATTTATAACAATTAAATACTTAACAGTTAATTGAGCAAAAAAAAAAAAAATCAATGGTAGACATCTCTGTTACCTTAAATGACGGATCATCACCATCGCTGCCGCTAATAATAAAAAAAATAAGAAGAAGAAATTATATAAACAGATATTAAGCATGTTTGTACGGGAGGAAAGATTGAGAAAAGAGAAGGAAATGAGAAGTTGTTTCAGTAATAATTGTTGAACTGCTTATGACAATTATATTTAAAATATTTTTTATTAGTATTATTTAAGATCATTGTATCAAAATTACTTCTTAAAGGTAGATAATTTCACTAACATTTAAATAAAATAATCTAAAACCTACATTTACAGACTCTAACCTAAGTGTTTAATCGACTGATCCTTTTCTTCACGAATATGATGCTACGATGGTGATGGACATACAGCTTATATGCTTCACGAAACGAGCGTCTCGTGGTATTGTCCAAACTTGAATTTTAATTCATTGGATACTGTTTTTCATTTTGCTTCAAATGTTTTCATTAAATTTCACAGCAGCAGTGTTACCCGTGTGATTGTGGGTTTTTGTAAAATATTCTTTAAAAAATATATTGTTTTTGTTTGAAGTGCAATTTCTCTTTCAAGTTTTAACCGATTATTTTTAAAAAAATATATAATAAATGAGCAATCCAAGTTAGAATTGATGTTAGTTTTGTAGAAAATCCAGCTTCAGTTCTGCTTGCAGTATTTCTCATTACCACGTGCAGGAAATAGTGGGTGAAAATCACTTTACAATTTGTGTACCAATTTTGCTTTTACTGATACTGATACTGATTGTGGTCAATACCTAATTCTTTTGAGATGGATCTGGAAGAAAATGATAACCAAGAAAGGAGAATGATCAAAACAAATTAAGGTTAATTTCTTGAGTTGTGTGTGAAAATGGAGGAGCAAGATCCTCCTGTGACGGCTTGTTCTGGTTTTCTTTCGTTGACTGACTTGGCACTGTCACGCAAAACCACACAACTGTGTATTTTATAGACTTCTAAGTGAAGATACGTTAAAGGATAATAATTGCCACACAAACAATTATACTATAGTCGTTGAAAACTGCAATAGCTCTCTTGGATGATTCTTCGTTTCTGTGCAAGTCATTTTGAGGCATTAGATTAGCGTGATTTATTTGCAAGACCCGTGCAAAGTTAGTTGATAAGTAAATTTGTTTAGAACTATATTTTCAACAATAATCATTGGTACAATCTAACCACAGTAATGACTGAAAATGGCATATACTGGTAAGCTTGAGCATTAGCAACATGGGGATAAGCCAACAAAAACTGAAATAATGCACTTCCTTAAGTATGTTATGGAGATCATGGGGTGATTTGGAAGAATTTATGGGAAGCTTGTAAAAATAAATTATAAACTTCATAAACTCTTTTCAGCTTATGCTAGTAAGTCTTATGCTATAAGAATTTATTGAATAAGTTGTTAATTAAGCTGTCATCTGAATACACCCAATTACAAAATGACATGAATTTGCATTGTAACATTTTAAACTAGTTTCGAGAGTTGCCAAAACACACCCTCCTACAAAAGCCGACCATCCAAAACACATAATACCAGATCAAACGATTGGAAGCATCGACAATAAATTCGCGATTCAATACCATCCACAGTGAGAATAATTTGTGAAATTCAAATCTTAATTAGAAAATATTTTGAAAAACGCTTCAGTATTTTACACCGGCTTTGTTTTGTTTGACAAAACAAGCGTAATGTTGTTTTATTTATTTATTTTAAAAAACAATTAAGTTATTAATTTCTCTTTATATATGTTTTTAAAATGAAATATTTTAAATTATGTTTTTAATATAAAATTTATTTAAATAAAAAAGATAAAAGAGTATATAAAAAATGAAAAAAAAACTGCTATAAAGGTGAACAACAGTTAAATTAACGTATATACTATGATTTTAATTGTGTGAGTAATAAGTTATTTTTTAAAAGAAAAAATGTAAAAAATAATAATATTAATAAATATTTTTTGAAAGCTAGGTACTTTTTTAGATAGATTTTTTTTCAAAAGTAGTAAGTATTTTTCATTTTTTATTTATCAAATAATTCTACAAATTTATTATCAAATTAATAAGTTATAAATATCTAATTAATTACAATTTATCTTTATCAAACATAGTGAATGTATCAAAATCATAAAACACAACGTGTCTTTTAAATAATATTTTATATTATATATTATTTATTAAATTTGTGGAAATAAATTTTGGGTTTTTAAAATTTTGATAATTATTATATTTTAAAATATATTTTATTATTCACTTTGTCTGATCAAAACTTATACTATTTAGTTCTATTTTCACTTTCTTTACTTTTTAAAAAATTATTAAAAATTCTTTCATTTAATAATACTTGTACAAGTACTGTTGTTTAAGATTTTTTAAAATATTGTTCAAAATTTATATATAGAAGTTAATTAAACAAAATTAATTAACAAATATTTAATTGAACAAACTTTAGATTCAATACTGAGTCTGATTCTAGCATTTAATTAAAAATGGAATTTCAATTGGAAAATTAACATGATAAAAAACTAATATTAAGAATTAGAAATTAAACTTTAATTCTAATTATAAACTGAAAAAAAATGCTTGAGATGTGATAACTGACTTCCTGTTTAACTGAAAAAAATACCATCCAAGTGTGTGGATGCCCCGTATATGGTGAAACAGTATATTCACTTGAATAGCGACTGCTCCCAAAGCAAATTAATTAAATAAAATTAGAGGTAGTTACCCCCCCAAACAACCTTCTGCATGCAATGAATGTGAATTAATGAAAGTATGGTTCACGTGCTATTCAATTATTGGCCGTCCTTATAGAACGTAGCCCTGTCCTCTGCCAGCGTGGACCCCACGAATGAGACGTGTCTGAAGATTCTAAACTCAAATCTCGGGATTATTTTAATTCTTCACATTTTCTTGTATATTTTTTAGAAAAAATATGCATCATCGCTCATTATTAATAAAAATATTATAATACATTTTGCTACCAAAATTATTATAATATTAGTTAATACTTATGAGCATTTGTTTCAACAAGTGTATTATTGTCATTGATTAGAGATTTAAAAAAATATATTAAATGAAAAAAGTTAAGATGTTTAAATCTTAAAAAATAAAAAAACTACGCTTAGTATTATTATTGTTATTAACGCGGTGTGATAATTTGTTTTATTGATTATAAAAAGGTGTGACTTAAAAAAACTATAAATAAGTTTTTTTTTTTTAATATTTTAAATTCAACTTTTGGGCATAAATTTTTTAAATCACATATTCTTAAAACAAAACAAAAAATAAACGATCAAACTTTTAATATTAATATTACATTGAGGTGGGGAATGGATCAACTCAGCCTACAGGCATGACCTACTTTTTGTTGATAAAAAGTGGCTACATAAGGTTAACATGCATGTTGTTATTGTTTTTTTATTTTTTTTTCCTAATACTATTTTTAGAGCATAGTTATCTTTTATTAGAATGAATATTATTTAAGTCAACTAGGATTATAAGTTATTTAAATTATTGACTTACTGAAACTAGTTGAGTTTATACTTTTATTATTATTAAGACAGTCACCTAGAGAAAATATATTATCTAAAAAATATATAAATATTTTTAAATAACTTGTAGATTAAATCATGACTTATTTAACACGCACATCAT